AACAGCTATTAGGACATCCCCTGCTGCTGTTCATAAGAACAAACTTCAAGTGCAGCATATAAAACATACCTTCATACCTTTCCTGCAGTCATTCTTATCATCATTACCCTGGCTTGAATTTGAATTTGCAGGTGATCTTAGGTACTTCTGATAAAGTCAGGCAGGGCTGTCACTCCCTTTTCCACTGAAGCATCACAAGTATCCCCTGAGAAGAGCTGAGAAAAGCAGGTTATAGTGTTACCCCTGACCAGCACCAGGGTGTGATGCTGAATTGACTTTACATGTAGAAATTCCCACAGCCTATGCTATCTGTAATTCTGTGCACTGAGTTTGAAAGAGCTACAGTGTAGTACTTTGGAAGAGCATGCAGGGAGGTTAGCTGCTTTGTAAGGGAAGGAGGAGTTGTGGTTTCTTGTTGGCTCCAAAGGGACCTCTCTGGACTCTCTTCCATCCTAACACCTATATACAGTACTCCCAGCAAAGCACACACAAATGGAAGTTAGCCTTTGTTGCTTATGTGGGTGCTGTGGAAAACAGAGAGCAGAAGATCCATGTGAAAGTTGGAACTTTCATGTGCAGCTCCAAATGATGTCCAGCTTTTCTCCGGAGGAGCCACACAAGTTTTAAATAAAAGACAAATGGTTAGGGAAAGACAAGTGAAGGAGGAGGTCAATCATGAGGTGGAGGAAAGTACAAATGAAAAAAAAGCCCCACTGCATTTCTTGTTTCTTCCTATAGAGGAAGTAGATGTGTTCTGACTTCTCATTCCTTCTCCTCCAGGAAAAGTCTAATACTGCTAGAGCTGAACCATTCACTCTGGGTGCATTTCCACATTAGGTTGTGCATACATAGCCATTACTTAGGAGTAGAACAGTTTTGTTTGTGGTTTATTTTGTGGTGTTGTTTTTGTGGGACTTTTTTTTCTTTTTTTTAGTAATGGATAAAGTGGAGGAGAATCTGGGAAGTAAAAAAGGTTAGCTCAATTCTAACAGCCAAACGCTGATCAGGTGTTTTTGAGGATGTATGTATACCATTAACTCCTGTACTTGAACACTGAAGTGAAATTGCAATTCTGGCATCTAATTCCTTTAAAATTTAGAAGACAGGTTTTCTTCTCCAGGCAGAGGACTGGCGTGAAAACAGGAGTTGCAAATGTTACTTCTTCTGAAGTCCTCCGTCTTGGAGCTCTTTCAATGTTTCTTCTGAAACATGTAAACCTTAATGCAAAAGACTGTGCGGTCTTCAAAGCGGTACATACTGCAACTCATTCTTTCTTCTTTCACCTGAATGTACAGCTCAGAAACAAGGCTGAACAGTCTTTGATTAAACCACCAAGAGCAGTGTTCTTAATTTTCAGTCCTTTGAGGTGTATATGCTGGACTGCAGAAAAATCATAGGTTTGGCTTGCTTATTATAATGGCAATGAGAGGAGAAACCACTTATCTCACTGTGGTTCATTCAGGCAGAGCAGCACACTACTGATCAATGGTAACATGTCACATTTTACAACTGCCCAGAGAAAAGATCCTTGAGCTGAAGGGCAAAAGACTTTTTAAAGGGCCATAACAGGACTGTGGGGTGTCTGCAATCCACTTCTTATATTCACAAATCAGTACAAATATGGCCCTGTGGGGAAGTATTTGCTATCATGAAAAATAGAACTGTAAGAAAGTGAGTTGAAGGGAAGCCACATTTTTGTTGGGCTTAGATTTGTGAATTGGTTGTCAGAAATTCACCATCCTTTACGTGAGGTCAAATAAGCTGATAAACAGTTAAAGACTAGCACAGCTATGGGGTATGAAGTGGCAAGGATGGAAAAAAGTGTTTTTTTTCCAGGAAGTATCCATGATAAATAAACAAATTTCTCCAGTAACAGTTCAATATTCCTTTTTCAAATTGTTATTACTTTTCCTAGACCTTGCTGTTTTGCTCTGGTTGGTTTTTTTCTCCCCCCCCCCCCCCCTTTTTTTCTGATCCCCAACCCCCTCCCCCCACCAGATTAATCACCAGATTAATTAAAATTACATTTTAATTGTTATTAATGGATCACCAATTGTTTTGCAGAATTGCAAACCCCACTGTGGATTCTTTTTGATTGAAAGTAAGCTTCTGTTATAGCTTGCACCTCTAATTCGTATGGAAGAAAATCTATCAGTTTGATTTCTAGAAATACTCATTCCAATAGCTGAAATGGATCTGCTGTATTTTTTTCATCAACTAGCCCTGGAGTTCTCATAGTTTAGAAGATTTTCATTTCGTCTGTGTTTACAGTGTATTCTGTAAGTGCACTTGATCCTTTTCAAGTACATCAAAGCTTCAAAACAAATGGATGTTTTCAACCAAAGCCTTCCTCTTAAAAACAGAAGCTTATTTGACTGATACTCTGATTTCATTCGTTCAGACTCCTGCATTGGTTTCTAGTGCAGTTACTTTTTCAGCCTTGCTCTGGTGCTCATTCTGGCGATTAATTTGCTTTATACACAGTTCCTTACCTGAATTAACAAATGTTCTTCCTCAAGTGCACCTGAGCTTTGTGTTGGAATCATGCTGAAAAAAGTATTCTGCTCTGATAGAGAAAGCTAATTTATTTTTAAGTACTGGCTGATTTTTTTTCTCTGTCATGTTTTCTCTGCAGTTATACTAGGGAGTATAAACAACCTCACGGGCTCTGGTTAAAAATTACAAAAAGTGGTTTTTTTTTCCAAGGGAAGCCTCACGTTTCAACAGATCTCTCATTCCATTCTCTGGTAGGCTAGCTCCATTGATGACGTGTGAGCACAGCATGTGAACTCAGCACCACAGTAGCGCAGAAAATGCATGGTTCATGCTCTGTATATGAAGTTGAAGAGTGCAGTAAATTCCTCTAGCCTGCAGATTAACGTTAGAAGTGGCAAGCAACCATTGAGGGTTCTTTAATATCTCAGTGATGGTACTTAACCATTTCAGTTCCCTGCTAAACTGTAGCCGCTATACAGGTTACAGAGAGGGGATTAGCCCTTTAAAAGGGGCACAAACAGAGTTCTGGACACAGTGTTGCTGAGTCCAACTTAAATGCTAGTTCAGTATCTCCTAAGAACTGCATGAGTTTTTTTGTCTTCTCTCTTTCCCCTTCACACAGCTCTTTTGTGTTATCCCATCTCTCCCCCATCTCATTATCACTGCAATTCCAGGCAAAGAAATAGCCAGCTCCCTAGCTGCTGGCTCTAGCTCAGGAGTGGAAGAGCAAGAACTGATAGTGATGACTGGGTGATGACTGGCTGCAAGTGCAAACCCCACTGGCCATGACTTGGCTGAGCTGAGAGTCTACCAACAAAAGGCTTAAAGGTAGATGGTTCCTGATGGATATATGTAAAAGCACTTTATTTTCCTCTTTGAGCCTTCTGTGACTCAGAGTGAAACCCTGGCATACATATACAACTCTTCCAACTGTGTGAAATGAAGGAATTTGGTATTTCACAAGAGTGCTCAGTATTGTAAGGAAATGGACTATAAATGAGTGCAGTGAATTGTTATGCATACATTTTAAATGTAATATAAACTGCTTTTGCCTCATTAGCATGTTGTAACAATGGAGTCGTGACTTTTCCAAGGAAAAAAGAAGATATGATTCAGCTGACCCTGGGAAATAAGCTTTTATAGTAAAATGGAAAAACAAAGCTGTATGTCACAATATTACGTTATATGATTATATCAGTTTAGTATAGTAAGTGTGGTTTGCTTTTGTCTTTTGAATTAAATCTAGTGATTTAATACTGTCAGCTTATGAACATGTATTTCCAACACAGACTCTAGATTAAATCTTAAAAAATGATAATGTGGAGTTTGACCTCCTTAGTTACTGCCTGATAAAATACAAGTAAATACGCTGTTTAAAGTATGCAGTAGAAAAATATATAGGCAAAAGACTTTAGATATTATGGTGGTACTGTTTGCAAAGAATATTAGCATTTACTGATCATTCCTATCATTGCTGCTGTTATTTTATATTAACAATTCTTTAATTATGTGAATGCCAGAATGGTATATTCACAAAAAGTAAAATAACTTTATATATAACTTAGTGGTTTAACATGTCTAGAACCTAATTTAAAGCAACCATGACAGACATCTTTCATGCAGTAGTCTGCCACAACAGGAAATTACTTCCTTTAATACGCAATGAAATAAATATAGGTCAGATGGTTTGTTTGTCTGCATTTACTTTGCACAGTTCTACCAGTAAAACAGGATGTTTTCTATTAACATTGCTGCAGGTTTCCTGGTAACAATAGCACCAAAATAAAGAGCAGATTTTGTCTAAGTGAAATTCACTCCTCCTGCCTAAAGCCCTATGCCTAGAATCTGCAAGAAAAAAAGCTGAAGTAAGATGTAGAAGCTGCTAAATTTATGTGTAAGCACCAGGCTGCAATCCACGCAAGCTTACATGCGTTAGGTACTTGGCTTCCTCTGAAATCTAAGGAGGTGAGCACCTTTGTTCTTAAAGCCTTTTGAACCTTCCAGCCATGTAAGGTATAACAGCCTCCCATTGTTTGCTCAGGGGCAGTATATATATGTATATGAATATTGCCTTGGGTATTCAAAGTCTATGCAAGTGAAAAGAAGATCATAGGGCATGCAGCTTTTCAGCTGTGAAGAAGCAGCAGCCTTGCTGAGCCATACTTCTTAAGAGAGGCTACTGGACCTTCTCATAATCTACACTTCAGTGTCTTTACTCTTGAGTGATCTTCAGCTCATCCAGAAAGCCAAGGCTCTGTGAATTAATTGTTGGCAATCTTTGAACTGTGGGGGGTTCAAGTGAAAGAATGGGCTTTAAGTCAGCCACATGTGACTGGATGCTCCATCTAACTGGAATGCAGTTTGTGTTGAGGTATGTTTTCTTTGGCTGTTTTTTCCTGAAATGTGCAATTACTAAAAACAAAATATTTACATCATTACAAATGAAATTTCAGTGTCAGCTTTTTCTGTCATAAAATGGAATATTCCTATGTGCAACAGATGAATTATTTTCCTTAGGGATCTGATACAAAACTGTTTTCAATACAGAGAACAATAAAATGATTACTACAGCTATATACTTTCTGATCAAGAAGTTTCCCTGTCTTCAGCGGTGATGCTTGTCCCATAGCTCCTATATCAGCTGTGTGCCAGGCTTCACAGTAGTTGCTAACCAGTCGGATCCCATTTGTAGTTGAACCATGCCATATTACTTTTTGAGGCCTGAAAAGTAATGTTAAGAAGTTATTTCCTGAAAAAGTATGTTTTTTTTTGTTTTTGGTTTGGTTTTTGGGGTTTGGGGGTTTTGTTTTTTGTTTTTTGTTTTGCTTTATTTAACTGCACACTTACATATGTGGTGGCCCGTTTTTCTGCTTTCCTCCTGCTTGAACCAAGCAGTGGGTAGGGAAATATTAAGGTAGAAAAGAGAAAAAGGAGGACACAACTTGATATCCCACTCATAGACTATGGGAATTTGAGAAGAAAGATGGCATAATTTCTAGTAGGCCAAAATATTGCTACTTGTACTATCTGGTAAAAATAAATGTCATGCAAGTCTTATAAATGGTAGTGTAAACTTACCAAGATGGATCGGTCATTACATTCTTCCCATCAAAGGAGTATATGGGAACATGAATGTTAAATTGTCCACCATTTCCATTAAATATAGAATTCCAGTTACTGAAAAGTGTTTCTCCCTGTTAAAATTCAAAGGCATTTTTACAAATAAAACAAATCCAAAATCCATATCATACCTGATTTTTGTAGACTTATCTATACATCTAAAAGCTTATCTGAATTTTAGGACACTTATGATTCCAGTTTTCATATCAGTCTCTGCATGGTGCTCCTGAATAAACTTGTCTGATCTATCATCTCTAAGCTAATAGCTCTCTGATTCATACCTTTGCCTCACAGTTGCATCTCAGTTGTATTGTCACTCCAGCTAGTCAGCATGATCATCTCCATTTCCACTCCTTTTCTCCCTCAACTGCCTGAGGAGTTCTTTGAACAATTGCTTAGAACTAGCTATAGACAAAATATACAGATAATTTGTGTTGGAAATTCTGTTGAGGTCATAATTTTGTGAAAATTGTGGCATTTGTTGCAAATGATCAAGGAAAAAAACTTGCATCAGGCTACCTGATTTTGATTTTTTCCAGTCAAAGTTGAAATAATATTGTGTTTACAAATTTGTTTCCAAGGCTCCGTATTTGCATGCTTCAGAGTAGCATCCGTTCAGCATGTTCTAAGCATCATGTATTATTCCTTTAGATTCCTTTGGCCGTTTACCCAGCCAATGCTATGGGAGACATGGTTTGTTTCCTCAGTTTTACAGTGTGTCTGTTTATGTGAGACCACAAAATGACTCATGCTCTAGACTTGCAGTTTCACTGGGGTAAGTCCAGCATCACTCCTAAGCAGACTTTGCCTTTATGTTGAGGAATAAGAAAAATGGGCATTTTAGCCTACTGTACTCTGTAATCATACTAGAAGGTAGAACATATCTGGTTTTGAGAAATGAGGATGCACTTTTTCTGAAAGAAAAAATAGCTAGAAAGCTGAACATTGTATTGTTGCTTTGTCAGTGATCTGCTCGAAGTAGACTATTCTCATACCTTTATTTCTGCCATTAGCCTTAGGATACCGGAAAAAATCAACCCTTTGAAAATGCAAAGGAAATATGAGACAATCTGTAACTTTCAACTTTATCACTACTTTTTTGGTTTTTGAACCTGACTGTGAAATGCAAAGCAAAGCTGCTTCTTTATAAAATGCAGCTTGGGTTGAAACTTTCTGCTTTGCCATTTTCCAAGATATTTGGCAATTACAGCCTGTCCTAATAAAACATATATCAAGTACTCATTTTTACCTTAAGATTGACTATTGGTAAATGTTGTCGGTCGGTTTTTCTGACAACTGTTGCCAGATCTTGCAAATGCGATGAGAGGAAGGCTCTATAGGTAGATGTCAAACCTGCTAGTTGGGCCTGTTGAAAGCACTGAAAATCTGCTCGGATGTCACCAGAAGATGGCAAGTTTAAAGCTACCAGATGCAGCTGGAGAAAAAAAGTAAGAAAGTCACCAATTTTATGGTGGTTTTTGTTTGTTTGTTTGTTTTTGTTTTTTTTTTTAAAGTCTGTAGTAGAAGGAAGACATATATTTGAATACACACTAGACCTTCCCTCCTCCTGCCAGAACAAGAACTGTTACCTTCCATACCAGGTATGACAGGTAGTTCCTGCCTTAACGTTACATTTCTTAAAGCTGTGACCCCTAGCAGAAATAATTTGAAATTTATCTGAAGAGAAGGCTCTAGGGAGATCCTACAGCAGCCTTCCCATAGCTAAAGGAGGCCTACAAAATGCTGGAGTGACAAGGACAGGTAGAAACAGGACAAGGGAGAATAGCTTTAAGCTGAAACAGGACAGATTTAGGTGAGATCTGAGGAAGAAGTTCTTCCCTGTGAGGGTGGTGAGGCTCTGGCACAGATTGCCCAGAGAAGCTGTGCCTGCCCCATCCCTGGCAGTGCCCAGGCTGGACAGGGCTTTGAGCAACCTGGTCTAGTGGAAGGTGGCCCTGCCCATGCCGGGGGGTTGGAGCCAGATGATGTATAAGGTCCCTTCCAATCCAAACCATTCTAGGATTGATGAAAATTAAGGAAACCATGAAGATTATATATTCCTAAAATAAAATTATTTTAAAGCACCTAATATTTTTAAGTAGAAGTCTTGGAGTTATCACACAAACAAAATCCCAAATCCTACAAGTATGAAATAAGTAGTAAGAAGTGACCATACACCATTTAAAAACTCACTGTTAGCAAATACAAGTAGCATGCTTGAATCAAACAGTATAGATGCAAGAACTAATCCACACTTTTTTTTTTGTTTGTGTGTTTGTGGAGTTCTGCTTGTTTTTTGTTTTAGATGTTAGTTGCCTTTCTGTATTCGTCTTACTGGTTTTAAGTATTGTAAATGAATGCTTAGATTCTGAATTGTCTACCTAAAAAAAAACCAGCACCATGAAGATAGAAAATATTCTAATTTTTTTTTTAATGATTTGAGTGCAACAATATTATTAACTTAAAAATTACTGTTTTATTGTAGGTACTATCACTAAAGTAAAGAGGTATTACTAAATCAGAATTAGCTTTTTTTTTTTCCTTTGAGATGGGAAAGGGGCTAGGATGATGAAAATAGATTTGGAGGAAACAATTTAAAATTGTCTCTGAGATTTCTAAACCAGTTAAAGTAGTGTATTTGTAAATATCTAAAGTGATATAATAAATAATATTATATTCACATAAATAAATGTGTATATTGATCTATTTAATCTATATATAATATAATTATAATATATAATAACGTATTATATATACTATAGAATATAAAATATGTAATGTAATAATAGATAATATATTTTTTATATAAAAATGAAATATGTGAATTTGAAGAGCAATTATCACAAATCTCTCTCAAGATGTACACTGTCATGTTTCAAACCAAAACTATGCAGTTGGAATACAGATCTCACACTTACTGATGGTTTTCCATTGTTCATGTTTGGTACTGGACTTCGCGCTGGAAGAGACTGAAATCCCTGTTATTTTAACACATGCAAACAGATATGTTAGACATTTTACTCAGATCAGAGTTTTAGACAATAATTTTCTAAATAAAACAAACATTGAACATTGGAGAATATGAAACTCTCTTGCCTCTGAAAAATAAACACAAACCACGTAGCCAGGATACTTTATCCACATATCAGACCAAATTAATGGTCTGTCACATAAATATGTATTTGAAAGCTGTCCTGGCCAGAGTTGCTTTTCTAGACTCAAGTGTACCCATCCACAGTGCTCTGCCAGAGCTGATGTCAGCACCTGGAATCCTTTGTGGAGGCAGCTTGCTCTTGGCAGGAGCAGAAGACCAGTTCAGGGAAATTAAAACTGGAACAGTAAGGAGGATGTGGAAACAGAAAATGTAGTGGTGGGAATATTTCTCAAGGCCTCTGTAATTCCTTCTTTGAAGCAATTGGCATGTAGGAACCAGAAAGTTGATGATCTTCAGACTGTGTGAGGAACAGCAAAGTTTTCTTCTCTAGTTGCAGTAAGAGTAACAAGCTGTACCAGTTGGGAAATCATGTGGTGTCAGGTAAAAGCTGCATACAATTTCCTGTAACGTAAGTCTAGACATTTTCTCAAGTGTGTTAAGTGCATTTCTCTCTCATCAGACTGCTCACTAGCCCCTTCACCACTTCTTGGTTTTCATCCTCCTGCAATTTTTTTGGGGACAGACAGCGTGTTCACATGCCGGTTGGTACAATAACTTGCAGAATGGGGTCAGGTGCAAGCTAACAATTGAGGCTTTAGAACAGACTGTCAGCACACTCTGGTATAAGCTACATGCAGGTGATGATAATATACCCTGAATACAGGACTATAATAATTTAAAGAAAACCTTTTCAGAAATAGAATTCTGAGTTTGCTTGAAAAAGACCAGGGCTTGATGTGGTTCTGGGCGATCTGATCTAGTTGAAGATGTCCCTGCTCATTGCGGGGGGATTGGACTAGATGATCTTTGAAGGTCCCTTCCAACCCAAACCATTCTAGGATTCTATGGGTGACTTCAGTATTGCAAAACAGAGTACTGTTTGGTGGTTTTTGTTGTTTTGTTGTTTTTTTTTTGTTGCTTGTTTTTTTTTTTTTTTCTGGTAGGCAGCTTGCTTTGTACTGCTTTTTGTAGATGCTGCTTTGTCTCTATAGTGTTTAGAGTCTCAGAAGATAATGGAAACAGATGACTGGCAATTGTGAACCCATTTGCAAGTGGTAGGATGTTTACTTTGAACTGACAAGTCTCAGCAGAAAATCATGTTGTACAGGGAACTGCCTGCAGTCTGCCAAATGTATTGCCTGGTTTTGCACATTTAGACTCGTTTTTTCACAGTCCCATATATCATACTTACATGGCTTGATAAGGCTGGAGGAGGAAGGCTGTCAGCAGGGATAGGAATTAGCTCACCAAGCTGAAAGAATCCAAAAGGACAAGAACACAAAACCACATCACCAACAGTTTCTAAACTGTAAAAGAGAAATCTTTGTGCCCATACTTCTCCATCCATGTAAAAAATATCTGCAACAATTCTATTTTAAGCAAGGAATTTGGAAAGGATTTGGACATAGTGCAATAGTACCTGCAATTTTCTCCATCCATTTCGAACACGGATATAAACCTCACTGGTTTCACTCAGATAGATTAGCGTACCTTCTGCTACCAAATGAACTTTTTCCAGCATACCCTCAATGTTATGGAATGTTGTAACCTGTCAAGTAGGAAAATGAAAGATGCTTCATCAGACACACAAAACATTTTGCAAGTTAAACTGAAGTCTCATTGAAGACATAATTGTCAAGGCTTCTTCTGCAGGTAATGCTCATAAAATCAGTTGTGCATAATTTCATACAAAAAGCTTCAGTAACATAAATATCTCAATAATTTAGCACACTGGTGTCATCATTCTCTGGATTGTTGTAGAACTACACCAATAGTTAATTTTGCACTGAGTGAAGATTATTGCATCTCTACAGTTTAGCACACTTGATGAAAATGGCAGAGTTCAGAAGAGATTTGATAAGGCTTGTAAATATCATACACAACTCTAGATTAATTTGCTTCTGTTACATTTTTGTTAGTGGTGTTATCTCTTTTCTTTAAGGGTGTTTACTTATTCCTTTCTTTATGTTTCCAGACACCTCTAGTTTACACAGCAAGTATTTTTCAATTTCGCTTTCACAGATCATCATGAGACTTAAACTAATGTCTGTCAGATATGGACGTTGCACTTACTACCTCTGCCTTTGTCACCTGAAGATAAGAGCACAGTCCTCCGTAAGATGTGTTGCTTTTACAGTCTGATAATTGCAGGTAGTGTAAAATCAGGGGCAAGTTTCTTGACAGTGCTATTTCTTAACACTGGAGTGTAATTTCTTTCTCATTTCTTCTGGGTCAGAAGGCATATAAATGCTTTCTGAATCATACAGACCCTACTATAGATCTGCCTATTGTTTTTTAATGTTGGGATTTAGTGTTGATTTTGACCTAAGTCCTGGATCTTCTGTCTGTGACAGTAGCTCCCAGCCTGTGTCTGCAGTCTACTACCTTGAGGCACCAGCCTTTGAACACCTGTTTCTCCCCTGATCTGTTATTATTGTCAGTCCTGAATTTCTATGACAAAAGACAGTCAGCAGAGGTATGACACTAGGGTGGGAAGGCATTAAGAAATTGAAACTCAGATTCTTCTTAATTTATTTGATATGATATACATGATCTGAAAGTCTGCTTGTTCATTAGTGCATTCTCAAATGATTGCTTAAGTTATCCAGTGTATTGCTGTTCTACCATAATACGAGAATGTGGAAAAGGAAGAATTTCCAATGAGCCCCCTCTGCTAGCTTGATTCTCCCCCCACCCCCCCACCCCAGAAACTATGACTATTTAATTTAGAAATTAACAAGACAGAAGTCTAAGGTGTCATTTTTACTGCATGGATATCTGGGATACAATTCTGATTTGATTCATGCAGTAAGAAAAGGAAACAAATTTATGTGTATTGTCTGACACAACAATTTTTAGATTTGCTGGAAAAATCTATGGTTTTCTTAGAATAAAGTGATCTATATTAATGGATTTTAATTCAGTAACGTTTTTTTTCATGGAAACTGGGCATTCAGTAGTTATTTTAGTATCTCAGCAGGTGAAGTTGCTAAACTCTTTCAGAGGCATTGCTGTGAACATAGAATATGCACTTTTCCAATACTTTAGCATGCCATCAATCTTTATGTTTGAATAGGCTGTAACTAACAAGGCAATGGACAGACTTCTCTTATCACTTTTCCCAATTCTTTTAATTTCTTGCTGAAAAATATGGAGGTTCAGAAAACCAGAAAGCATTCTATTAAAAACACAGGAAGGAGCTTTCCCTCCTCTCAGTGCTTCCAATGGCCACCAAAAGATTTGAAGCAATGTTTCAATGGCAAAATTCCTTATTTTGCTGTCTTACCAGACTCCTGGTTGCAGGTGGCCCTGGCTCTCCAGGAGGACCTGGTGGCCCAGGCATTGCAGCTGCTAAAATGAAACAAGCACACAATACATGTTGAAGGTCGTCATTCTTGAGAGACAAGATTAGTGACATAAAGAAAGGGCTTGGTGGTGGTGTCTTTAAATAGCCATATGCCTCACATAGAACTTACATAATTAAGCTGTGTTTAAGACAACCATGGAAAATACATTCAAAGGATTTTTTGTAAAGCAGTGGTGAAACAGCCTTTTCTCTGTTACTTGGGAGGTTAAGGTCAACAGATTTCAATCTGTTGCAGATACTCTGCAAATCATGGAATCATAGAATGATTTGGATTGGAAGGGACCTTAAACATCATCTGGCTCCAACCCCCGTGGCACGCACAGGGACACCTTCCACCAGACCAGGTTGCTCAAGGTCCCGTCCAAGCTGGCCTTGAACACTGCCAGGGATGGGGCAGCCACAGCTTCTCTGGGCAACCTGTGCCAGGGCCTCACCACCCTCACAGGGAAGAACTTCTTCCTCAGATCTCATCTCAATCTCCCCTCTGTCAGTTCAAATGCATTCCCCCTTGTCCTTTCCCTACATGCTCTTTTAGAAAGGCTCTCTCCAGCTTTCTTGTCAGCCCTTTTAGGTACTGGAAGCTGTCCTAAAGTCTCCCCGAATCCTTCTCTTCTCCGGGCTGAACAAGCCCAGCTCTCTCAGCCTGTGTCCCTAGCAGAGGTGCTCCAGTGAACTTAATCTGCCAGTTCCTTCAGAACCTGTCTATGCATCTCATCAGGTCCCATGGACTTGTGCACCGTCAGGTTCCTTAGATGGTCTCAAACCTATCTCCTACAGTGGGTGGTTCTTCATTCTCCCAGTCCCTGCCTTTGCATTCCATGACTTGGGTGTTGTGGCTGGAGCTCTTGCTGGTGCAAAAAAGTCATTGAGTACCTCGGCCTTCTCCATGTCATGGGTAACCAGGTCTCCCGTTTGCTTCTGAAGGGGGCCCACATATTCTCTCATCTTCCTTTTATCCCCAGTAAAAGCTTATATCCCCAATAAAAGCTGTAGAAGCTTTTCTTGTTGCTGTTAATGTCCCTGCCCAGATTTAATTCTGTCAGGGCTTTAGCTTTCCTATCCTGATCCCTGACTGCTCAGCCAATTTCTCTATATTTCTCTCAGGCTACCCATCCTTGTTTCCACCCTCTATGCTTTTTTGTGTGTGTGTGTTGGATTTTGTCCAGGAGCTCCAAATGAACCAGATTCACTTAAAATTACCAGAATGCTCTTCTGGAAGCTGCTAATGGCGTACATACGGAAGAGGAAGAACTTTTAGCTCCTGCCCATATATTCTTTGAGGGAGGCTTTTTCTGTAAAAGTTAACAAAGCAGTAAAGAATTCTGCAGTAGTATGGATTTGAACTTCTAAGACTGTGGTCCACAATATCTAGTACCTAGCAGCTGGCTCTACTCCAAACCTGAATTTCTTCACCTTGAGGTGAAAGTCCCTGTTTTCTGGAGTAAAAGCTCAGTTCTTTTTAGGAAGGGAAGAAGGAAAGATATGGAAGACTGAAAGCAAGCATCTTTCCCCATATTACAGTATGTGAGCCCCATATTACAGTAACAGCTTTAACAGAGATAACAGTGCTTTGAAGCTAGAAATAAATAAACATCTGTGTTCGTAACATTTAGTAAAATGGACATCCATCAGTGTGCTGCCTAAAGAAGCTTTTTACAAAGCAGAGAGGAAAATGTGTAGGAGGATGATGAAGACTAATGGCAGAGAGGTGAAAGTATAGGGATGGAATGCTAATAATAATTTGTTTTGTCTGACTGGGTCTCTTAGCTAATTTTCAGAAGTCCTTAACATAAATTACACAGGAAAAGGCCTGAAGGTCTTTATGGATGCTGAGGATCTGTCTGTATTATAATGGTGAGGGGCCAATTCAGGTACAGGCTTATGTTCCAACATCAAAGATATTAAGTATTTCTTCTTCTTCAAATATTTGTCAAAGGATGAAGACTTCTGATAAATATTCAGTTAATAATATTTATTGGAGCACAGATTGGACCTTCTCCCTGGACAGCTATATAAATCAATCTGACCAGGTTCAAGAAATAGCTGGAGAGAACAAAATGGGGACAGAGTAGCCTGCTTCCCAACGAGCATACTGAGGCACAGGTCTTGTGATCAAACAGACTGATTGTTAGTACTCAGAAAAAAAAAAAATCAGTATTAGCTAGACCTGCCCAAACTTTAGGCAGGACAGATGTGCATTATAGCCTCTCTATTCAGTTAACAATGTCCTTTCTGTTAGTAAACCGTCTTCAGCTGAGACTAAGGAATGCTTTGCTCTGGTTTACCTGGCTGGATTCTCAAGCTGGTCAGAATTCCCAGAGGGAGGAATTAGAGTCACTTGCTCAGGCAGACCTGTAGAGTAAGGTCAGAGGAGGCCAGGACCCAATCCACAAGGACTCAATCTAAGGGCTAGACACTAACAGTATGAGGCTTGTCACTAGCAGACCTGTGACCCAAGAGCCAAAGCAAAAATGTCTTGAACTACAGCACTTGGTTTATAGCCACATACTCCCTTTGATGCAAGTTTGAGAGCATCTGGTAGATTCTCAAGCTGAAGTACATTCTGAAGCTCAAGTGCCACCTTGTTTGTAAAGGTCCCCCCTTCCATGTGACTATTTGTAGACCATTTTACTCCCTTTCTAGTCCAGTAAGTTGAAAATCATTAAAGGTACAGTAATCAACCCTTTCAGAGTTTTGTTTCTATACAGCATTTGCATAACAACTAGCTTTTAGAAGCACTTCTCCAGCAGTTTCATTCTAGACCTAAACTTTACTGTAGGTACTACCTTTATATCATTTATATCATAGAATCATTTAGGTTGGAAAAAGCTTTTAATATCACTGAGTCCAACACATCCAAGTACAGGGCTCAGCACTGAGCCTTTTTGAACCTCAATGGGCCTTGGCCCATCAAGCCAGCATGTCCAGATCCCTCTGTAGAGCCTTCCTCACCTCAAGCCAATCTCAAGCCGATCAACACTCCCACCTGACTTGGTGTCATCTGCAAACTTACTGAGGGTTTACTTGATCCACTCATCCAGATCATTGATAGAGACATTAAACAGGACTGGCCCCAGTACTGAGTCGTGGGGAACACCACCTGTGCCTGGCTGCCACCCAGATTTAATTCCATTCACCTCAAGAAGAGCATGTTCCCCATTACTCCCTCAAGGTGAAATTGGTAGAGAGCAGGAAGGAAGAGGGAAGCAATCTGAATCAGATGTGCAGAGTGTGTGGGCAGATGGAAGAACAGGTACATAAAGACAGTGGTGGTGTGGGTGTGGGCACATGCATATGCACTCACATACACAGTGAAAAGTGAAATCACACCCTCTCACCTGAGCCGTATATTGCAGGGGGTCCTGGTGGGCCTGGTGGGCCAGGTGGGCCAGGAGGTCCAATTTTTCCATAACCTGGTAAGCCAGGTAGGCCTGGTAATCCTGGAGGTCCTCTGGGTCCAACAACTGAATCCCCTTTTGGTCCCTATCAGTGATAAAAACAGTGTTTCTTTGAATGTATCAGTTTCACTAGTGCAGAGCCTTCGTCTCTGGTGGTGACATTTTCTGAAGGCCTGGTACCACGTCAGTGTTCAGACATAAGGCTGTATGTAGTTTTCTTCAAGGAGGCATGGATATTAATGGAAAAGGAAAAGGTGACCATGTACTAAACCAAATTAAAGAATTTAAGTTTCAGAAAGCTTTCTGAAAATTTTTGCACCTATTCCGTAGTTGCTGACACCTGCAAAACTCTCAACAGTACTCTCAAAGCCCTGGATCTCAACTTTGCTCTTGCTGAGACTACTTGATTTGATGTGTTTATAAGAGTTTGTCAGAAGGTACACGGTGCAAAGCTTTAACATGAAGTGTGTCTATGCAGGATGCATGTATCATGATGAGTGCTGTCTTCTCCCTCCTGTGATGAAATTTCAGCTCATAGTCCTTAAACTCTCCAGCTGCTAGTCTTCCAGATTAAAAAGGCTCCAACTCTGCTTTTCCAGTTCAGCAGTGTGTCCTCAGCCTGAATGAGGAGGGCTTGTGGTCCCTGTGCTAAAACTGGCTTGCATACATGGAACAGTTTTTGGTCTCTGGACTAGGAGAGCTCAGCTGTGCCAACCAACTCCTTCTTGCCAGTAGAACAGTTTCTAAAAGGGGAGATGGTTCTCAGAAATGTGGAGTACTAGGGGATTTTTTGGAGGTGGGCTTGCTAACCTAACACTTCGACCTCAGTTGTGACCCACCTATTCATGCTCCTTGGCACTGAATATGATAATGGAGCAATGCAATGCACGTATTTGTTGCCAGATCTCAAGGATAAGATCAAGTTTCCAAATAATTAGTGCATTTGATTCTAAAGTAACTGTGGTGGGAATTGCCAGAAGATAAAACAACTAGGCAGAGATTAGACAGTGGATGAATTTTATAGGAATGATCCAGACTGATATACACTGGACTTTACATTAATGTTTTTGGATTACTGGAATAGAAAATGAGATGAATTATTTAGATGGAACATAATTATTTTGGCATTTATGGGGATATAAGTAGGAACGTCACAAGTTATATATACTGCCTTGATTTGTAATGCTATTAATAGCATGAACCTACATACTGATGTAGTTGTATTAGGCAGCTGAGCATAACATTGCATCAGTTTTTCATACCAATTAATTCTGTGCACAACAGTGAAGTGTTTGTGTTTATGCCTAATGCAACTCTGTTCTATTCACCTAATGGTTAGCATATAAATTTTTATATAGCTCTTAGCATCATTTTGTCTATCTCTTTTTAGTGCCTTCTAATTTAAAGCAGTGGGTACCCGCAAATATTCCTGTTCTACAGCTCGCATGACTTACAACTAATCCTGGTCTTCCAGGTGGTCCAGGAGGTCCTGTCAGAAAAAAACCTCCATTTGGTTCTCCTTTTTCTCCTTTTAAACCAGTGACTCCGTTGTCTCCTTTTTCACCCTTTGAAGAGAATATATTTTAAAACACTGAGCTGAAGTGAGATCTCTATGTACTGATCTTTCAAAGTTACATGAAACCTGTTGTTTTCTGCTATTCTACCTACTCTTATTTTGTGCAGTAAGTGGAGGTAAAGAGAAAGTTGGAGGAAGCATAAAAGCCTGTTTTTTGTTTTTCTGCTTTTCTGCTTCATCAAGGCAAAAGCAAAGCAAGATTGACATGGAATGGACACATATTTAAAAGTATGTGGCAAGATTACTGTGCACAGGATGAGAGAAAGGGGAGGGAGGGGGGTTGTAACAGGATAACAAAAAAGACACCACACAAAATTGCAGACACTTTGACCTGCATCCCTTTTTCTGTACTTCATTGTTGGTTATCAGTTAGTTTGGGGAACAGTGTCATTACTAGGTCATTATCTCTCTGTGCAAAATGAGCCACAACAATCGTAGGTTCCTCCTCACATTATTTTCTTCTGTTCATCTGCCTTTTTTTTTAACTTCACCTTTTTTTGGTCTACTTTGTTTCACCTTTCTGAGAAATAAACCTGTGAATAGAAGAGGCAAAGAGCAAAGCAAGAAGGACAAGATAACTGCAAAAAGCTAGCAGGGATGGCTATATATAGCTCCTTCTCTGACTTGTCTTCCTTTTAGTTTCCCAGCAAACAGCACTATAAAGCTTTATGTATGGCATGCCATTTTGCAGAGATGAAGGAATAGATGGAAAATGAATTCTTTGTAGCTAAAACTGTAAAGCTACAGACACAATTCTGTAAGATCAAAGAAGCCATGTCAGTTCTGTCATGCATACATGTAGCACTTTATATCATGGGAATAACTTAGATGCACTCAGCCAAACTGAAACAAAATCTGTAAGCCAGACAGCACTAAGAGTCCTTCAAGGAAACTGACAGTATACTGCTTTTGGTGGTATCATTAAATGATAACTCGTTTCAAATTCTTTCAGATCTACTGATAAAGAGCCTTGTTTACTAAAAAACATTTAAAATAATATTGCATTGGTAGTCTTCCTTGTCTCTTGAAGTGTTCAGGAGAATAACGGAACAAAGAGAGACCAAACACATCAAGGTGTGGGTATACTTTCTTGTAAGAGATTCCAGAGAAAGTAGTTTTCATTCTTTGAACATATTCAGGGTGCTTAAAAGAGAAATAGCATTACACAGAAGTAATTTCTCCCCCCTGCAATGTGTTAACTATTGCTAAATTTTTCTAGAAGCCCTTTGGGTAATGGATGTCTCTTAGCTGACCTGGCATGGAAACACAAGCGTTCATTTATGGCAGATAATTTATACCAATTTATGTTAGGTAACAGTGAATTATGACTCACTCTAATATCACCAGGAAGGTAAAAAGCCTCAATAATAAATTTTTAACAAAAGTAATCTTTATAGACTACTGACATCTGCTATCTCTATACTTGTAATAAGCTTGTCTATGCAGCTGGAGTTTAAGAAATTTGTATTATTTATAATTACTGATGCTCTGATTTGTTTTGTATATTTCACCATGCTATACTGTTTTATGCTTAATTTATAGTGAAGTACATTTTAAAAAAGGTTAACAGAACTCAAGCACAAATGGGATATAATTACCTTTATGCTATTAATAAAGTGGCTAAAATATGATGGAGGCAGAGGTGGACCTGAAAAATGAAGAAAATACAATTAGGTACAATAATTATCTGTAATTTTCTTTTTAAAAGCAGTCCTTTGGATATTACTGGTTTGGGAGTTTAAAGGAAAAAATATTTACAATTATAACATTAACCTTTAAATCTAACAGATATTTTTAGCTTGGTTTCCTAACAAAGCAAGGCTTACATGCCCTAACTTGTCTGTTATTCCACCTTAATAACTTCTGAATCTAATTATGAATTTCAGACAAATTTGAAAGCCAAGAAGTCTCAAAGGTGAAAAATTCCCAGTCTTCTGAAAAAAACACACGGCAGCCTAGCAGAGGCTTAAAGAGAAGCATTCAAATTTGATGGAAACCAAGGTAAAAGAAAAGCTTTCCACGTTTTGTCAGCAGTGGGGTGACCAGTCAGTAGCCGCGTTATCTTTTAGGCAAGGAGAGTACCATAACTGACAAATGAAAGGAACTTGTTGTGCTGTGCTGATCACAGAATAATTGTTCTGTGAAGCTTTTCTGCAACAAAAAACAATACCAGTATCAATGGTTATACCACCTGTGTTCTGTTGTCTGCCAATGGTGGTCAGCCAAAGCTGCCAAGCAGGCACAAAAAGTCCAAAAAGCCTTCAAATAATCTCTGTTTGGCATACACTCGGCATACAAAAAAAGATTGTTTTAAAGCTGTCCATAACAGCTTCATGCATCTTCTTCAAATGTGTTCCGATTAATTTTTGATACCTTTGGGTCCAACTTTGTGCCAGCCATAGGACTGAGATCTCAGTATGCTATCTCAGATACAATTAAATCAAGTAGACATTGTATACATCTGTATGAATCAGAAATGTATTCCCCCTATGGCAGCTATTTTGACTTTATTTCAACCCTGCCAATTATAGCTCCCTGCAGCAGTTTACTCGATCCATGTGAGGAGATGCTTTTTACCCACTTTTCTGTTGACTTCATATTTTTGCATGAAATCAATTAATAGAGCCTATTTGTAAGGTTGTACAGTAGATATTTTGTGAATATAAATAATAAATCCACTGCGTGGACAAGTACTACAGTTCAGAAAGCTTTTCTGATTGCTGAAACTTAACAGATACTGTAGTGGAAGGATCTTCAGCCATCTGTCCCTAAGAGAAGGTTTTGAAAAATTCCAATACTTTAATCATGTTCCACTACCCTGCAACTTCTGGCTTGTGAATTTTTACTGTCAATGATTATATGTACATCTGTGAGACCTAGAAAATTGGTTTGTATGAAAGAATATTTTAGCAACTACATCAATGAGCAAGAACCAAACAGGAATATTTTATAGAGCAGGAACAGAATTAGTCTTATTTAACATGTTTTAACTTCACAAAATATTGAAGCTAGTTAGGATTTGGTTGGAAAACAAGTAAATGAATATCTGTTATTTTAAGAGGAAGGTGAATTCAGTTTTCAGGTTAACCAGAATTCTTGTGTTATTTTCACCATCCTCCACTAGCTGCAGTTTTATAACAAGATCATAAGCATAATCTTTTCATAATCCTCTTCTTCTGAAGAACCTGATATTGTAAGGTATAGACAAAAATACTTGTAGGACATGAATTTGCATTAAATACAGAACATGGAACAGCATGTTCATGGTGGATAAGCCATCACAGAAGATGAAATTTTCTTAATTTCTGCTGCTTCTTTTTACACGTTTATTGATGATTAGGAAGCACTAACCACTTATTTTAAGGCACTGGATACTGAACAGAATAAAAATGAATTAGGATGAGGCACTAAAACAGGTTTTATTAGAACAAACAGATGTCCTCTTAATAATAACCAAATTACCTTCAGTCAACAGAACTGTGTCTTTGGGACGAAGAGAGAAATATCCATGTAGATATAGCTTTGTATTTATTATAAACAAAAAGATAAAGATTATGAATATGCTATAACAATATTAATTTGAAATATGGCTTCTCCTATTTCAAAATATTTCTGGCACTGACCAAAGGCTTATCTCAGTATACGAGATTTCAAAAAATGTACAGAAAAGGAAGAGATTGTAATCTTTTCAAACAGATGCTTGTTTCTGTATCTATTTTTGAATGTGTAAGAATTAGCAACATGCATCAACTTTTTGATACAGAAAAGTAAATGTTTATAGTGGAACATCTGCTATGATACTCCTACCACCAGTGAGTTGGTATTTTTAGTTCACACAGACTTCTCATGATTTTCATAAATAAAGCATAGAATATTAAAAAGCTGGTTGAACATCTAGTTACACTTCTTGCTGGAAGTGAGACTGTCATCAGCAAATGACTGCCTTGAACTCAGAATGCGGAAGTGTGTTACCCTGAGATGGAAAGCACTGGATTTTAGTCTAATTGACTCAAAAAAATTTCCAACAAAATGTTATCTCAGAAAATGGACATGATGTCCTAAAATTTCAAAAAATCTCTGACCAGGCAGTTACATTTCAATATGTATTCTCGTACTTAACTCATTCATAATGCTCACAAATGTACAGTGTAGGTACTTCTTTCCATAAGACATTTTGCATAATATCATGGCTTTGTTGTTCTGTGTGTCAATTCAGCAAGGAACCTTGGTATAAGTCTTTAGGCAGGTAAGGCTTCAGGAGTAAGTATCAAAGCACTTTGTTGAATTGCTTTCTAATTTAAATGTCTGTTTTGTATTCCTTCATGTATTCATTTATAGGATGCCAATGATATACCAGGTTTAGTATACCTACCTGGTGGTCCTGGAGCACCTCTGTCTCCCTTTTCTCCTTTTAAGTCCACTGAATTGCTCAGCCCCCAGGAATCTCTGTTTGCTTTAGCACCTGCCACAAAAGCATCATGAATTCACAGGATCTTGCAAACAGCAGAGACAATAGCAGTGACAACCACCGAAAGTGAGAGCAGGCTTTGCTACACATGTGGGACACGTGGCTCTAGTCCTTATGTGCTTGTCTCGCTTGCCTCATGAACATTGAACAGCTGTCTGATTGTCCTCTCTTATGAACTCCAACATGTGCAAGACAGTGTCTTACAGGTCAGTCTTCCCTAACCACCTAGCCTAAGACAAACCTATTCTCACTGCATTTGTGAATTTCACTGGGGCAGGTGTACAAACAGTTCTTGAGTTATGGCTCTGCTTTTGACATCACACCTTTTACTAGCTCCAGACTTAAAACCAAACCAATAAATGATAACATCCGAAACTGTGAATGTAAAAAATGTTACAATTTATTGCTCCTTCATGTCATAAAAGCATTAATAATGAAGAAAACATTCTCTGAGAACAGATGTGCTTTTGGCATAATTTTACACCCAGGTGGGCTAAGGGTAGAATTGCATCCAAATACATCTAGGTAAAGCCTCTATTTTCCCAGATATGATTCAACTTCCATGGTAACCTTACCCTATAAAATATCTGGGTAAAACGACCTGTGAGTATTTAGACTTCTTAGGTCTGATTTCTCCCTTTGTTCTACATGAGTAATTGCTAGCATCTTTGCAAAATTAATATAAAATAACACAATTGTACCATGATAACATCTTATAGCCACTTCCTTCAGGTAAAAATGCTTTTAAAGCTTAAGGTCAGCTGGTCCTATTCAGAGTTACGAGCAGGAAGAATGCAATGACAAGCAGATACAAGATACATCTCTTGAAGTAATTTTTGATTGTTCCCTGCCCAAGGTATCTTCAGCCCCTGTGGCTAGTAGTGATCTATTCTTGCAGTCAGTGGATCTTCTTACCTGATACGATTGAATTTGTCAATTTCACTGGGGCAAGCACAGAAACAGTCTCTTGCTTGGGTACCCAGTCCATGCTCCACAGCCTGGTGCCACTTATAAATAAGATTTCATGATTAAGAAATAAATAAAGACCTTATTGGTAAGAAAGCCTTAGTTTGAAAAATAGTTGCAGCATTTTTTCTTCTTTAGTTGTGCAGAATGACTGCAAATTTAGAAGAATGAGATAGACTTCTTCCCTTTCAGAGTCCCATGTTACAATGGAAGTTTCCAGACAGTTCCTCTACACCTTTCTCTTGTCTTTCAGCCATGAGAAAGTTGGTCATACGCCCACAGGTCTCCCCATGATCTGTCTGGTGACTCAGCCTCCAGTTGTGAGCCCATGTTCCAATGCCTACTGACAAAACAGTGAGGCCTCATTTTATAATTCCACTGAGGCCAATCGCACAATGTCTCAGGTGCACAGCTAGTTTTCCTAGTTGTCAGCTGAACCCTAACTATTGCACTGTGACGTCTTCAGATTTATTTTCCAGGCAGATTTCCAATCTAGTCATCAGTATTTTAGGTCATCTTAAAATATTGAGACCAATACAGAGTTATACAAGCAAGCTGTTCTCGCAGTGTCTTCTTCGACCAGTTACTATGTCCATTCTTGCCCTTTATCCTGATCCCTTACACACTTTTCCTTCTCTTGCTTTCTTTTTCCATTTGGATCAAGGTGGCCTGGTCTTTCTGAGTGTCTCAGTCATTGCTGAGGGAGAGGAGCTCTTCCAGTTGCTGTGCCTGCTCTGCCTACTCTCTGGACCATGCTACCAAGCTGGTCCCCAGGTAGCCATCTCTTCTTCCAGAAACACCTCCAAGATCCAGCATTTGGAGCTGATATAGCGTATACTACTGCTGCCTCAATTCAACTTGTTTTGCATGCACACTCTGAGTTATCTGATTAAACTGTAAACTTTCCAGATTCCTTCGCACAGTGATGGGAACACTGATTTGATCCTCAGGAACATGGGAGCAGGGTAACAGGTTTAGGCTGTATATTTAGGGCTGCACTACTGCTTTTTTTTCCCCCCACTCTGAAAATATAATGAGTAGGCAGGAATGAACTTTTGTTTTAAGTATTTAAATAAAAGGAAGAAGACCACTGACTTTATTTCCTCTGAGATCTTGAGAAGACCTCTTTCTCCACTGTGTTTCACTGTATCATAATAAAATAGCCAGCTGCTCCCGGTGGATGCTCAGGGACTTTGTTATAGTGTTCGGTCTTTTTTTTTTCCAGCTTCAAAAAGCTCTGAAGGGGCAAAACTGTCACAGAATTTTCTGTTTCCCTTGGAACTGAAAGACTTCCACACAATTTGATCATGGCAGCATGATTTTAAACATCTGTCACCACTGTTTTTTTTGTGTGGGTTTTTTCTCTTCTTTTTTCTTGGGTTTTTTTGGTGTTTTTTTTTTTGTTGTTGTTCGTTTGTTGGTTGGTTGGTTTGTTGCTTTTTTTTTGCACAGAATTGCTTCCTGTTTCTCTCTACATGTTTCCCTCATGCATCCTTGGAGCATGTCTTTGAGGAAGGACGAAAGCACAGACTCAGGCTTGCATTAATTTTGATGCCTGATGCACAGAGTAGGTGACCACCTTGTGCTTATCTGATAGAGTTCTGTCTCAGGAATGGAAAGATTGAACCTTATATAATCTTAAAATGGGAGAGAGAGAGAAAACTCTGTGTAAATGGTAACTTTTCCTCCTTAAACTGAAGAAAGAAGGGATGCATACTGGAATGATTTTAGGATTTACTATTGGGGCTGAGAATTAGTATGCATTTAGAGAAAAAAACCCTATAACGATCAACTGAATAGACACAAGTTTTAAACAAAATTGTCATAGTTAAAATCCTCAGTTTCAAGCATTTACCTAGGCTGAAAGTCTAAAAACAGCAGAATGTCCTTTATCAGCTTGGAGTCAACTCTTAGAACTAAGGAAAGTGCCTTGAACTTAAGGCTCGTTATGGGCATTTATTCTGTTAAATCATGGATTCTTTGTTAAAAAAATAAAAGTGGACATAAAAAACTTTTTCAGTCCCTGTATGGAGGTGGACACAAGTAATCGGGAGTCTTTGAATTTAGGAGCATGTTGGGACTGGACCAAGATGGGATCTTACAGTTTCACCAGAAAAAGAAAGAAGACCACTTCTTTCCCCCCTCTCCTTCCAGGAACCCCAGTTATGCAATAACCACAAAAAAGTACTTATCTTAGAAAAAAACAAAACAAAAGCTTATTCACACCAGGGTACAAGAAAATAATTACTCACCATGGACATTAAGAGTTTCTTGATTTCCAGGGTAAAGAGTGCTCACCTGCAGACAAAGAAATCCATTGAAAATTATTTTTACACATTAACCAATGGAAGTGCATTACTTGGTGTAACTGAAAAGCCTAGATATTTTGCATGCTAATAAATATTATAACAACACTCTGGATTATATCAAGTTTGATCTAATATCAAGTTATATTGATATAACTTATATAACATTATATTGATATAATATCAAGTTTGATATAATCTGAGTGTGTGTATATATATATTTGTCCACGTATTAGCTGATCAAGCTTTTTTCAGGATTGTGCTCTCTTTAACATGCCACATGCTTTTAGCAAAAGGGCAACAACACATGTTTTGAGGTATCAGCAAATCCTGCTCTCAGTCATGCCAGTGAAGCACCAGAAAACTCATTCTCCAAGGACAATTTTGAATTTACATCACTGCATTTGAAAGCAGATTTGACTTTTGATTGTAAGTTAGCAGACTGTGTTTGTAAATTTCTAATCAGACCATGGCTATGCCTACTGTCTGATGTTAACCTGTGCTCCAGAGGCATTGAGATCAGAACTGGGAGGCAGAAGCTATTCTAGTCTATCCTTCTGGCACCAGCCACCTGTAACAGTGGGCAGGCTACTTAACCTCTACTGCCTATCTTCAGAATAAGGAGAGTGCAGGAAGTGAAAAGTATCACAGTACTTGGAAATGGCCAGATCTTAGTACTAGCTAGAACTATTTATATGAATCTAGGCAAGTGTATGAAAAAACATCAAAGGTGCTACATCTGGCTAACCTGGCTCTTAGAAGTCTTACTCACATGGACAGCTCCATTAACTTCAGAAGTTTAGCTCACATGAGGAAACCTTGTGGGTTCAGTCTGTAGTTCTTTATCAATATTCATTTATGTAGGCATAAACAGCAGACTTCTTATATGTAAACTTGAATAGGTTTAGGATATTACTCACAAATGTAGGACAAATCTATCTAGCATACTCAAATGCATTGACGTGTTTATAAGTACAGGTTTTTATTGCTTGTGCACATAAAAGTTGCTCCTATTCACCAATTGTAACCTTCTTAAAAAGTGACCATTATTATCTGAAATTCAGCAGAAATAGGCTTATATTGTTTGAATCGTTCCACAGGGAATCATAAGAGAGTTGAGGCTGGAAGGCATTTCTGGAGATTGGCTAGCCCAAAGCAGGATCAACTACATCAAGTTGCTTAGGGCCTGGCCTCATCCAGACAGGTTTCAGAGATGACGCAAACAGAATGCGATTATGGACATGCATGATTAAGCTACAGAAGTGTTATATGGTGGGAATGGGGAGTTTTAAAGGAGAAATTCAAAGAGGTAAACGGTGCCTGGAGGTGATAGGCCAAAACTGCAATGTCAACTTACCATACAATAATGATTATTTATCAGTAATTAGCAGAAAGATCCATAAGCTGGGATACATCTTTCTTCAGCAATAAATGTAGGGTAATGTTGAGTACAGATACATCTAGTATGGTGTAAGTCCAGAGCTGTTTCTTTAAAATAAGTGAAAAAGAACTGGAATGGAAATTGGAGGAGGGGGCACAATGCTATTTTGAGCTATACTGTCTAATGGAAAAGTATAACAGCCATACTGCACACCACACTATTCAGAGGAGGACTGTGACAGAATCCTTTCCAACATCTTAACCCACATCTTAACGGTACAATATTGCCCTAGGGAAAGTAATTCCAGGACTGGACTTCTTTTGTTGTTCATTGTGGGATGTAATATTCATAATTCATTAAACAAAAGTTGCATCAGGGTGTTCTGAAAATACAAACCCCATCTCCTTTCTTTTTATACTATGCGTGTAAATGCAGGTCCTTTGAAGCTAAAGGGGGCTTTGCCATTCCCTTTGGAAAGCAGGGGCAGAGCTTTACCGGATGCCATTCTTGAGATAATAAATGTCTACATGTGAATAGATTGCATTTGAGGATCAAATAAAGAACATGATCTTTCTTTCCTAATGAATCTTTCATGCCACAATGAAACATGTAACAAGTGTTATTTTGTACAGGGAAATGGAAAACAGCTAAAGACGTAAGAACTTGGAGACAGTATTTATATATACATCTGAAGAATGCATGTGCATGTATGTATAAGCATTCAGCTCCCCAAAGCAACTCTTAAGCTATGGAAATGTAGGGTTTAAAAAGTGTTAGAACAAGTGATCGAAGTGCTTTAAGCAAAAGGTTCTAGTGCTTTTAGTTCTGTTATGTATTTTACCTATGGCTAACTTTGGGTATCTAAATGCTTGAAAATCTGTTATTTTGAAGACTAGGTAAAACACGTCTCTGGTGCAAAGCAGAAGACAGGGAGTGAAAAGCTGCAAAGCTGCTGTGGTTATGCACATAGCTAATTTGGTTATATACTGTCACAGCCATGCTTTTTGCTAAGAGCAGATCCTGTGTGTGACTTACCGGCATTTTGCAATGAGGTCTGGGTGAGACTGGGAAAACTGTCTATTGAAAAAAGGAAGGAAAATTATTTTAATCCATGTAGGTATAATACAGTAAATAACACACCACATAGATCTTATGGACATTTCAGGAGAAAGCCTGGAAACAAAAATTGGCACCTCCTGGGCAGAGAGCCCTGCTTGCTGCCTGAGAGCTCTTACAGGCCTTTCAGCAAGTAACATGCTCTGTGTGTGTGGCAAAACTCTTACATGACAGTGGCTCCTGTTAAGAGATTTTTTTCCTGTGCACACAAGCACAGTCCCCCCCTGTAAACTGTGTTGCCTGAAACAAGTTTTGATGTTTCCTTTTGCAAACCGTTTCTAGAGTAGCACATTTCTGATACAAAGATAGAACAGCAACTGATCCCCGGTTGTACTTACTCCTTTGATATAAACTATACGTCCTGGTGGTCCAGGAGGTCCTGGGGGTCCAGGCAAGCCAGGAAGGCCCTGGTAAGAGAAAGTGAAAGAAGGAAGATATTAGACAGATCTTTTCATATGCAGTGCAACTTAGTCTACAGAAAGAAGGCCAAGGGGCTCCGAGGACACTATTTAAACAAGAAGTTTTGTATTAAATAGCCTGAGGGGAGATTGAGCATTTAGTTACAAAGACCAACCTGTCAGGTGAATTGTAATATTTAACCTAAAGCACTCTGTGGAGATCAAAATGGTCTAAGATTGTTGTTTCCAGGGGACAAAAACCAAACCAAACAACCAAAACCAAATCCCAGATAGAAACCCCCCAAAGTACTAAAAATCAAAACTGAATTAAAGGCAGTGGATTTCTTATCCAAGGAAAATTAGGTATCCAAGACTGATCTTGGATTCCCAAGACTGCTGAGATTCATATCTTTTCAAATGCCAGTCAGATAACTGCACCTTCAAGGAACCAGAGGCATGACTGCCATTTAAAAAAAAAAAAAAACGCCTATTCTTTCCTGTATCATTTAAAAAGCTGGCGCCACACCATGTCCATCTTTCAATCCACATCAGTGAAAGCTTCTGTGAGGTGACGCATGTCTTCTCAGCAATAATTAAAGGTTTCATCTTCCCTGAGTACTCCACAAAACGCTATTAGAACCTGTAGCCTGTTTTGTTTGCTTGTTTGCTTCAGTCTCCCAGCCTGATGTACTTCATCTGGTTATACTTACTTTAATAGTTTTTGTTTGGTTAAGGCAGACAATCCAGAAAATGAAACTTGACACTGTTTGAAGATAGGGAAGAATGGAAGATCTACTTTAGTATTTTCTGCCAGTGGGTGTTCCTCTTTTCTGTCATTTTCTTCCAATTTGAATTTGTCTAATTTGCCTCATTTCAGCAACTAATTTTCTATTTACACCTTTCTCTAGAGGTGTAAGCAACCTCCAGTACCTACTATTTTCTTCTGTGAGGATACCCATCTTCAGTCTCCCTGTTAGTTGTATAAAGCAGTATCACAATCTCTCTTTATTGTCCAGATAGAAAATATACTTGTGTTTTGCAGTTTTTGTGCCATATATATTTTTTTTCATTTTAAACAAAATAGAACAAGAGAAGTCATGCAACAGAATTCATTTACAAAAAGTGCTCTACTGAAATAGTTATATTGACTAGATCACCTCTTCTGATGCCTAGCTGATCCATGCTTTATGATTTCCATGCTATCACAGTAAAATATGTTTGTCTTTTTTTCCGGCATGTCTCTGATGCAGATGAAATATTCTTAGCTGCTCTTGTGGTATGAGTACCAATTCTTCTAACACAGATTGCCCATGACATCAGAACAACCACACAAATTACTCTGCTATTGTGAAATTTGTTGCTTATGCTCAGCAGTGTTTATTGCTGTGTAGTCCAGTCCTCATGTTTGCCCTGAAACCACTTGTATGAAGTCTTTTCAGAAGAACAGACTTGCAGCACCAGGAGCTTGGTTCATCACTCATCATTCCATAATTACAGGTTGTACGTGGGCACATATAGGCTATCGTGTATGCGGTGGTCATTATTCTGGATACATGTACATGACAACTAAACCAGGTACTAAGTCTTAGCAAGTATCTCATTGGTAGCAGAGAGGATTCCATTTCACTATGATATGCCCAAGTGCTGTTTACACCTGTGCTAGATAGCTAAGAACCTATGGGAGTATGTTCACACGATGAGGAGTCATACTGATGGCCTGGATCCAGAAGTCTTTGGTATATAGAAAGAATCGGCAATCCCAGATAATTTGCTATTATTTAGCTGTGCTAACAGTGCATCACACATATGATTGTTACACCTGGGAGCTGATGCAACTATGTATGTCTTTAAGAACTGTCCAGATGGACCCAGAAATTGACTTTTAAATAATTGTTATCAGATAGGAAAAGTAGCAGAAACATAGAATTATTTCTAGATCATTTCACATTTTGAGTCCTCTCATCATTTTAAAGGAACTCATATAAACCAGATGAGTTCAGATTTTAAAGGGATTTTTTTCTTCAACCAATTGCAATATTTAAATACTTACATTAAATGAGTCACCTCGATCACCTTTCACACCTCTCAGTCCATTCAGTCCTGGGCGGCCCTGAAATAAGTAGAAATAGTGTAGTATGTGTCAGAAGCAAGCTCCTCTATCTTTATTCCACTTTAGAGCATAATACATACTGGACGTCCTGGAAAACCAAGCTCTCCTTTAGGTCCAGTAGGTCCTATGGGTCCCTGGACAAAAACAGAAAATGTGATTATGAAGAACATATAAAACGTATATTTGACATATATTTTGATTATTTAGAATAAGAGGCATAGTTTTATATTTGCATTAAAAATAAGTCTGTGATCATCTGCAGAGAAAGCACAGAATGTCCTCTCTCCCTGCCCTGCTGAATGATCTCAGAAGCTGAGGCCTGCATGTAACAGTCAACTCTGGCTTGGAAAAGACTGTTGTCAGAAATAAAGTCTGAATTCTCAGCCAGCTGTAGGGTGTGCACTTCACAACTGAGTCACCATGCATAAAAGGAACATTAAATGTTTCGATCACTAGAAAAAATGCAGTTAGTTGTGTATGCTTTGTACATCTCCTTTTTGTTTTGCTTTGTTTTTCTAATTATTTTTGAATCAGGCCCTATGAGGAAATGTTTGTGGATCAGCCTGAGAATTCATACAGTGCCAGGCTTCTACATGCCTCTTGCCAGCCTGGGCATATGAATTTATTTATTTATTTGTCCTTGCCTTTATGTGATATCATTTTGCTGGAAAGTGACATACATACGTTAATAGAATATTTATCTGATTATGATGATGTGATTTATCTTAGCATCGAGCTGAAATTAATGGATTAACTGTTTTAATTTTATCGTGCCAAAATTTAAGACTGGATTAGAAATGAAATTTGGAAATGGTCAACATGTGAACATATTAATTTAAAACATCACCACTGTAATCAGAGTTGAAAGCTAACTAGCGGCAGCTGAAAATGTTCAAAGTTGGTAGGACCTTTATTAAACTTCTCTTTCATGTCCTGTTTGAAGGTAATTTCTGCCTGTATGATCAAAGCTAATGGCTCTGTCTAAAGCAGGCAATAGATTTCTGGTGGGCTCTGGCAGATGTGAATTTCAGTATCATGCCCCTAGAATTTCAAAATTATTCATCCTATCCTTCTGTGATGCCATATCCAATAATGGGGTCTGAAAAAAAAAAAAAGAAATCCAAAATGCCTTGGGGTATTTTTGTATTTCACTTTCAGGTATTTGAGACTTTAAAGAATATGCAAATCTGAGCTTTACTGAGAAATGAAGATGATTTAAACTATTAAAAAAGTCTGTTTCTAATCAAGAGAAGTGTCTGGATCTCGTGCTGTAACTGGGACTTTAAATCAACATCAACAGTGTGAGAGTTGAGCATGCTGGAGCCACTGTTACTATTTCCTCTGTCAAAGTGCCAGCCCACCCCTGACAGAAGCCAGCAGTCACAGTTAGAAGTGAAAGAGGAAGTCACAGGAGACTGCTTACCAGAAAAGAAGATTTAATTTACAACAGCAGAGTTGATTTGAGCAGATTGACACTGTGGTTCTTACTAAGGGCTCCTATTCAGTAATGTGCAATGGTGTGTTTCACTGAAAGCGAACAACATAATTGAACAGGTAAAAGATTCTCATTTTCCCTGTAGCAGGAGGCTGGATTCAGTCTGTGTCTTCTGCTTTATCTGGTAACAGTATTAAGCTCCTGACTATCCCTAGCTCTCATTTGCCAAACCAGTACTTCTCTGCAGCTTTTTGTTGCACAGGACTCCCACTGACTACAAAGGGATTTTTTCCCTGAGACAACATCAAAACTAATCATCCATATTAGCAGTGATGGTTAAACTGAAGTTTTGCACTAAGAAGAGGAACTGGCTGAGCAAAGTCTTGAGACAGGTCCTTTGTGCCAAATTGTCCTACAGAATAATCATTCACACCAATGCTGGCAAGAACTTCCTCTGAATGGCCTTGTCTGCATGCTGAACTGTATGAAGCATCTTGTAGCAGTGCAAAAGATGTCAACACACAGTTTGGAGCTGATAGGAAAGGACATGTCCTGACGGGTACACAGCAATAGGATGATAGGCAAGGAACACAGGCTACAGCATGAGAAATTCAAAATAAATATAAGCAAAATATTATTTCTTTTTTTAACCCTGAAGGTTGTCAAATACTGGAATGTGCTGTCCAGAGCAGATATGGAGTGTGTCTCCTGAGAGATGCTGAAGACTCAACTGGGCAAGTCCCTGAGCCAAATAGACCTACTTTGACCACTGGTGTAGACTAGATAATCTCTGAAGTTCACTTCCATTCAAAATTACTGTATGATTCTATGTCAAGGCGATAGTATAGACTCATCTTGCAGTCATTCAAGGAGAAGAAAAGGAGCTTTCCTTCCAGTAAATTAGGATAGCCCCCTCAAGGTATTCTGATACACAGTAATTAAGAAAGCAATTACTCAGCACACCCAGTTAGCCCGTTTTAAAGACTGCAGAAACTGATGGCAGAATCTTTTACGGACTTGGTGCACAGAAATGACAACACCTACTAACATTCACTTAGGCACAGCAGAGAAAAGGCTACATCAAAAGCAGAAGCAAAGAAACACTCGATATCCTTGATCTTTGGAACATTAGATTAGAAGAAATTAATTCTTGCTCTAATACTTCTGAGTCTGGGCAACTGTTCTGTTCTTACTTTCTAACTAATTTCTTGTGCTTTTCTACAACGTTCTGTGTCCTGTCAAAAATATCAGGCCAAGTACCTGAAAGAAGGCCTCAGAATTCTGATTTCTGTGAATGTTCTGACTCTACTACCTGATTTGCAGCTTCCTCAGAATCCAAGGCAGTTGCAAATTATTGGCACCAACAGAACCAGAGCCTGATGCAGTCAGTTGGTTTATGATAAATGATAGAAATAGAGAATAATTTAGATTGGAAGGGATCATTAGAGGTCATCTAGAACACCTCTTCCTTAAAGCGAGACAAACTTCCAAGTTAGGTCATGCTGCGAAGCACCTTCTTCCACAATCCACCATCTCTCTGGGCACCTATTTCTGTGTTTAACTACTTTTACTGTATTTTATTTTTATTTTTTTCAAATCTAACTGGAATTTCCCTTGCTGGAACTTGTGATCATTGGCACTCTTCTTTTTCCTGCGCACCTCTGAGAAGGACCTGACTTTGTTTCTTCTGTAATTCTCTTTCAGGCAGTGACAGGGAGCAAATAGAGCTCCTCTTAACCTTTTATCTTCAGGGCTAAACAAACTCAGTTCATTCAGAGTCATAAGTTATGTCAGTTTCTAGCTCTGACTATATTTCACTATTTAGGGAGTAACAGATACATTTGTGCTACCAGAATTAAATTCTGAATCGTCAGTAGTTTACAGCACCGCATATGTAACAACCACTTTCTTTTCTTAAGGACATTGATTATCCTGAAGCAAGAATACTCCTTATCATCCCTACTCAGAAGGAATGTAAACCTAAAGCAAACTACCTTTACATTTACTATAATCTGTAAAACCAAAGCAAAATAAGAAAAGATTCCACTCATCTTTGGAAATGTCTTACCATTGGTCCCACTGGTCCCACCACTCCAGCTTCACCCTGTTGAGGACAGACACACACAGAGCAATGACAGGGAGAACTCCTTCAGTATCCAGGCAGAGGTGGCTGGTAACAGGGCCACCAAACATTCTGGCAGAACACAACACAATATTAGCTCACCTTCTCCCCTTTTCTTCCTAATAATTCAGTTAAAGATCCATCAGCAGCAATGATAGCTCCTGGTTCTCCCTTTTCACCCTGCAATTATCAAAGTAATTTTACAGTGTTTACAAAATAGTTCTCAATTGAATCAGAAGTCAAAGCAGCATTACTGCTGTTAGAAGCATGACAGATGAGTCATACTGTGATATCAAACATAAAGTGGTATCAGTATGAGTAGGGTGAAGCTTGATTCTGGGGAAGAAAAGGGTTGAACTTTCTTGAAATAATTAAACTATTACACTATTACTATATTGCACTATTAAAGTATAATAGAGTACACTAAACACATCCTGCTTGTGCAAATCATTCTGGGATGAATATATACTCATTTTTTAAGAAAGACTTCTGACTGCTCTCAGTAAAGTAACTATGTGAAACATACTGTGCTCACAATAGGTCTCTGCCAAGGGAAAACAGGCTATTGGTGTCTTCTTGTGTACCATCAGCTTAGATATGGCTCAGGAAATACTGCTGGAAATGTGAAATCTTGATAGAACACTGTCCTGATTTTACTATCAAGAAAGCATGAATCATTCTCTCTGTGTGCCTGGCATGATGCGTCTTCATTGCCTTTAGTGAAGGCTAATCCCCTGCATTAAAATCATGAACTTCTGCATTCCACTTCTTCAAGGGATAATTCCATTGAATAACGGCACTACAACCATGAATCATCATTCCCCAGTGCCAGTGCATGGTTCCCACTCTGGATCTTTCAGCTGTAACTTCCGTCCTCCTAGCTCCTAGCAGCTTGATATAATAGCTGTCCTAAGATCTCTTATGGAGCAAACATGGCTTGAAACTAACAATTACATTTCTGATTAAAATGATGGTGCAGGATACAGAACTTCTGCTGAGTGGGAAGTGCTATAACTCAGTTCCTCTTTCAGGTTCTTAAATATTTGGAGTCTTTGGAGTTTCCCTGAGAATACTTTGGATACTTTGAAGTCTTCCTCAGGCTTAGCTTCACTGTCTTTATCTTCTGTGAGATTTTCTGGATCTAAGGTTGCAACAGAAGCATCTCACGATTTTCAAAGCAAAATGCTCCTTGGTGTCTGTGCAGCTTCATTGCGGTTCCCACTTCGTAATTCTTGAGCATAACATGGTGTTCAGAAACAGCCTCAGAAACATCACTATCTCATTGATGGGTACAAAACATAATGGCTTCAAAGTTTTGTGTTCCTTCCAGTGTGGACAGCATAAGCTAATAAAAAACCCCAACAGATTAAAAAAAACCCTAACACAAACCAAAAAACACCCAACTGGTTTTAAGGTTAAGTTTGATTATTTTATGCACTCCATAAAAGCACAAGAGTCCTTATGACAAAAAAGGGCTTGTATTTGTGGAGATGTTTTCATCTGAGCAATTAGATGCTGTTCATCCACAGGCGCATTTCAAACCACAATTAACCATTTCCAAGCCTTCCTATTACTTGTGAGAAAGTGAGGTCAGATACTTAAAAGAGGAAGTGGTTTTGGTTTTGTTTTTTGTTATCCCCAAGATTGTAATAACTTAGATGTTCCTCTCCCCTGCTTCCTGCAGGTGGGTGAGAAGGGGAAGAAAAACAGAACAGCAGCAATGTTTTGTAAATAGCAGAATCAGTCCTTAGTCTTTCTCACCAGTGCTATCAGATAAACACTGTTGTGCAGAAATCAGAGAAAGGAACTTAAAGAGAGAGCTCCCCAAGTCTTTGCTTTCTTTGGGAATGTAAAACTGCAATCTTCATTCTGTATGCAAAGCCCTCTGTGCCAAACGAGGAGAAGAAAGACTAATCTGTTTTAAAGTTTTTTTATTTGGCCTTTCTTTTAGGATCCCAGGGTGTCAGCACAGACAATTAACTTGCAAGAAGAGCTCACCTCATGTTTAATGTTTATATAAACTGATTCTGATAAGTGCACACTGTACTGTGGTATCTCAACACCGAGGCAGGAATCTTAGCTCTCGGTGGTATTATATCAAGGTATTTTTTGAACTCTTTCAACTTCCACTTAGTAAATTCTTCATGCGAACTGATTAACATCCCAATCCCTAGTAAAATTAGAATCATTAAACTTTTAATGTCACTAAATATTTGTCATCTAACACATTTTGCAGCATGTACTTTTCCCTATGCATTTCCTCTTTCTTACTTGTTGTCCTTTGGGTCCTTGTGATCCAGGCAAACCAGTATCACCCTTTGGTCCCTGAGGGCCCTAAACAAAAACCAAATACATAAATCCATAGTGATATCTGCTAAGAATATGAAACTAGGCAATTAGACTAAATGTAATTGCAAATAACTGGAAAACCTGAATTTTAGTCAGTCTGGTTGCAATCGAAGAACTCTTATAAGACGAAATTGCTGTCTGAATCAAAGTATTCCCTAAAGCAAATATAATTTAGGGAGAATCTGTTAAAAAGAACAACCAACCTCCCCCTGATGTTTATCACAGTGTAGATGATACATTTACAAAGAGAAATATGTAAACATTAATAAGAGTGGAAATTAAGCCTGAAATTCTCTATTTCCTCCTTACTTTATTCTCCCTCCCTCCACAATTATTCAGCCAGAATGATGTTCAACAGGATTTATGAAGCTATATTTTTATTAAAAAAATCTTAATCTGAAATAGAGATAATACATTTGAAAAATATGTAATTTCTGTGGTGAAACCATTCCATTCAGATCACAGTTTTGTTTTACAATCTTCCAGTATCAGTGCACTCAGGAGCAATTTTTTACACACCAATAACTAAATTCAAGACCACACAATTTGTGCATTGGTGAAGAGATAAAGAAAAGACCTGAGTTAAGAACAAGAATGGTATTTTCAGATCTGTAGAAATTCTGTAAATGAGAGAGTAAGAATTCATTACATCACTTTCTAAATATTATCAGCTCTTTTTCAAATGAAAAGTATTTTCAAGGAGTTGCCCCTGTCATCTTCCTTTGCAATGTATAATACTCAGGACCTAGTAAACAACCTTCTGTAGAATTATGGGAAATTTGCCAGCATTTTATCAACATTGTTTGTCAGCTTTCCCAGTTTTCTCCTTAGTTATTCTCAGGCAATAGACAAAGGATCCTGAGACCATATGGATGCATCTGAACTGTGAAACAACCGTAACAAGGGAAAATAATTCTATCACATTATATAGAATATAAATATAATAGTATAAACAATATTATCTATCTGAAGTCACAAGCCAGGTAGTGTTTATATGGTGTGTCAGTCTGAGCAAGTAGGTAGCACAGTATAAGGCACCTTTTGATACTACGGCTGTGCAATGCTTAAGTAGTAGCATTGGTATGTTATTATAAAAAAATAACAAATGTTTCCTAAATGATGAAATAAAAAGGGTACACCTCATAGGGCTTTACTGTACTCTGTAGTGGGGACAAAAAGAGCCTAAAGAAAACTGTAACTACATATACATATGAAGATATCTTTTAGAAGTCCATTTGTTCCATTTATCCCTCCTAAGTGGCACTGGTCTTTTTCTTAGGTAGCAATTTCTCATTAGAGTCAATTATGTTTACTACAGAACTGATTTGGAAATAAGCAGAAAGACATGATGTACATATCCTAGTATAGTTCATTTACAGCAGAGTTAATTTCTACCATGGCTTTTGATTCCATGAACACCTACAGTCTCCAATATGAAAACGTTACACTTTGTGTAAATTCTGTACAATATAATTATTTTAAAATATTAAGTGATATTGAAAAATACTTTCTCAAATCCAAGGAACATAATACTTACAGGAAATCCTGGTAGACCAGGCTTGCCATCTGGCCCCTGCAAAATGCAAAACCCCTTACAAAAGCGTATTAGACTTACAAAACAGAGTATGCATTTTCCATGTGTTGTATCATTTGTGAGTATTGACTGATCTGAAACTGGTTTAAGAACTTCATTCAGCCAGTGGTAAAGTTGTGAGTACTCCACAATGAGCTATGCTTCTAACTTTTGTGGGACATGATCATTTACTTCCCAAAATTGAACAGGCAGAGATCTAGGAAGGGCTGAAGTCAAGTGGCATATGAAAGGCATACAACCATAATTCAGCCTCCTCTGAATCTTTTCCAGATTCTAGCACAGAGACGACAGTAGCCCTCCCACCTTTGTCAATTTGCTCCTGGTTGTCTGTAGACATAAAAAAAGAGTGTGCAATAGGCTATGAATAGAAACATGGATTATGGATTTGGATTTGTACTGGGCATATTTAAGATTGGCCCACTGTGATATCCGCAAAGAGACCCTTTAGTTTTAGTTCATATCACCTGGATGTGTATTACCCAAGCAAATGTAAGAGTGCACTTCTTTCCTGACTAGGGTGAAGTCAGAGGTTAAGGTTCAAAGATCTTTCCAATTGCAACGGCAGTTTGAGCTACAGGACCTGGTTCTTTCTCTTGCGACTGTAATAACCGTTACAAATCAATACATTTATGCTCATGAGCCCACTTGTCTATGTTGTTTTGAGAACCTATCAACTAGGTTTTGCTATCAACTAGGAATTGCTACTACCTGCAGTGACAGAGCTCACACAAGAGGGCCCATTCTATCTGGCGCTCTACTATGTTCAGGGAGTAGGAGACTCAAGTCTTTAGGAAACACATCAAGATACTCTTCCTTGAAAGGTGTTTTACCATAAGCACAGCTAGATGTAGCCACAATAATATGATTTATTTCTACCATGTGACAAGTATAAAAAAGGCATACTAGGCTAACAGATAAAGGTTAAAAGCTGTTATTGAAGCTAATGCCCTTCTTTCCAGTTCACTGATATATTCAGTAAATATTTGGTTTAGGACAGCTGTATTAATAAAGTACATGATTTTTTTTTTTCAAACTACAGCTATGTCAAGTGAAATCCTGCTATCATGTACACAAGTTCTGGTCTTGTTTCATGAGGGATTGAATGTGGTGGAGAGAATTCTGCTCAGAAACAAGAAAACAGATAAAATATAATACGCAAACAACAGTCCAAAATGAAACTAGTGAAGTAAGATGCTTCATTTTGGGGGATTAAAATTTTTCAAAGTGTAGACTTTCAGGCAAGTTTGAATGGACTCCACAGCCTGGAAAAAGTAGATTTCTCTTTGGGTCCAGTCCTAGGAATTTGAAATCCTTACAAAGAAGCATTAAGAATTTCAAATATTTGAATTATTTTGCAACTATACTCCCAACTGCAAAACAAAACCTGAGATTTCACACCTGTTGTTCTTTCATGAAATTTCCACCTTTTCATCCACAGCTTTTCATCTCACAGTAGTTGCTGTGAGACTAAACTCATTCACAGGAGCCAAGTATTCCCAGCTGCAGTCTCAAGCAGAACTGAGCAAAATATATCTCAACATTTTTTGACTTAAAAAAAAAGAATAAAAAAAAAAAAAGGAACAAATGCTATGTAAGTCTTGGTCCCTAATTTTATATCAGTCCCACATTCCTGTCATTCTGAGCATATAGCTCAGATTCAGATACTTTGATGCGAATGTTTATAAGTAATTCATTCACACAGAATTCAGTTCTGCCCTGAAATAATTCCACAAAGCTTGGTGCTGAAGTTAGCAGGAACACAATTCTAAAGCATGTGAAACTCACCTCTAGCTGATACTTAAAAGGAGGCAGAGAAGATAGAGCAAATCTGAAGATTTAATAAAGCAGCATATACTCACTGGAGGCCCAAGAAGTCCTTTAATTCCAGTAAAGTTTAAAATTCCATCTGTATCATTGAGTAGTAGCTAAAAAAGTGGTTAAGGAACAGGTTATTTCACATTGATTGGCTAAGGCACACATACATACATGTTTAAAAATGTATAGGCAGTTAAAGCATCCCTTAATAAATGTGGGAAGAAAACCACAAATAAGGCCACAGAAAAGGCTTTCTACTTCTAATTTTTGTTACATCTGGAGTAACAAAACCTAGAATTCATTTTACACTTCTTATGTAAGGATCTCAGAATGCTTTCAAAACTTTAACTAACTGAAAACTCAATTAGAAAATGATGACATTAAATGTTGGAGCCTGAATTCATTTCTCCTCAGCGAGATAAAGACCAAATGGATGTTTTATACTCCAATACGTCACTGGCATTCAAAGACAGGGAATTGGTCTGACCACATTCATCCTGTTGTATAGTTGAAGTTATAATTATATTCTGGACATGTCTGCATCACACCATGCAATGCCATGCTGTGATTGCTCAGTCACATTGCAGAGGTGAAAGCTATCTAGCTGGTCTTAGACATTACCGGATGAGAAAAAAGACCAGTACTTTATACTGACTAATGGGTGGTGGTAAATTCCCTGTTGAGGGTGGTTGCAGCGATGGAAGCAGAGCAGGCGGCAGAGCAGAGGTAAGATCATCTGGGCTGCCACACTGTGACTAGAAATCACTGTCTGGGTGGAGAACCTGATTGTGAAGGTATGTCAGGTAAATGCTCATGTGCTCATGACACGTCAAGCCACCGAAGAAGAGATGTGACATATAGATGGGCTTGTGACTGAGGGGTGGACTTGACCATGGACATTATTGCACAGGTTATTTATGAATGTGAAATATCTGTTGCAATTAAACAAGCCAAGCAGTTAAAATCTCTGTGGTGTGAAGGATGATGGCTGAAATATGAAGATGGGGAGGCCTGGCAGATTGACTATATCACACTCCCACTGACCTACCAAGGCAAAAACCATGTGCTTACAATGGCAGAAATGTATCCTATGCCACATGCCACTGCCTGGGACACTATCCTGGGCCTTGAAAGAAAAGCCTTATGGTGACATAGTTACCCCAGAAACAATTGAGTCAGACAGTGCGACTCATTTCTGAAACAGCATCAAAGACACCTGGGCCAAAAAGCATGGCATTGAATGGGTATATGACATCCCCTGTCACGCACTGGGAAAATCAAGAAGTACAATGGACTATTAAAAACTACACTGAGAGCAATGAGTGGTGGGACCTTGAAGCACTGGGATACACATTTAGCAAAAGCCACATGGTTAGTCACCTTGAGAACATCTGCCAATCAGGCTGGCTCTGCCCAATCAAAACCTTTACATACAGTAGAAGGGTATAAAGTTCCTGTAGTGGACATAAAAATATGCTAAGAAAAAGAGTCTGGGTTGTTCCTGCCTCAGGCAAAAGCAAACCCATTTGTGGGATTGCTTTTGCTCAAGGACCTAAGTGCACTTGGTGGGCAATGTGAAAAATGGGGAATTCTGATGTTACCTCAAGGAGATTTGATTTTGGGTGAGAATAGCCAGTAAGTTAAATTTTATGATGTAATTGCTATATAACAATTATTATCATTTCTGTGGTGGCTAAATGTCCATCACTGCACTGGGTGCCTTGCAGTGCCTCTCTCAGCTCTCTGGACTTGGGGACCTAAACCTGACTCCCTTTTGATTGACATATGAAGGGAATTACAGTAAAAATCACCCAGATCAATGAAGAATGAACTTTGATGGAACCGGACAAGTAGAGTTGTGGTGGAATCAGAACTGGCTTTAGCATGCAACAATCCAACACCACACACCATCTTTTGTCCCTGAAAAACTAATGACAGATGGAGCCCAAAGTCATGGACTAAATTAACCCCAGTGATATTTTACAGGGAAGTCCAATACATCCATAAGGGAATGCATACATAAGAGAATGATTATCTGTGTGTATGTATCAAAAGACAGGAAAACTGATGATTTTTGGAAAGTGTGGGATCCAGGCAATGAAGTAAATTGCATAGAATAAGGGGTATATACTGTCATGGTTTCAGCTGGGACAGAGTTAGTTTTCTTCCTAGTCCTGGTGCAGTGCTGTGTTTTGTCTTTGGTCTGAGAACAATGCTGATAACACACTAATGTTTTAGTTGTTGCTCAGAAGCACTTATCCTGATCAAGGACTTTTCAGTCTCATGCTCTGCCAGTGCGAAGGGGTACAAGAAGCTGGGAGGGAACAGAGACAGGACACCTGACCCAAACTAGCTAAAGGGATAGTCCATAATCCAGCAAGTCAGGTCCATATATAAACTGGGGAGAGATACCCAGAAGGGGGGATTGCTGCTTGGGTCAGGCTGGGTACTGTTCAGGAGGTGGTGAGCAACCAAGTTGTACATCACCTTTCCTGGGTCTGATTTCTCTCTCTTTTTGTTGTCTCCCTTTTCATCATCATCATTATTATTTATCTTTTTTAACTATTTTATTTCAGTTATTAAACTGTTCATATCTCAATCCACAGATTTTACCTTTTTTTCTGATTTTCCTTCCCATCCCACCAGATCAGGGGGCTGAGCGAGCAGCTGTGTGGTACTTAGTTGCCAACCATGGTTAAACCACAACATCAGGCTTTCATTTTGGTTTCAGATAGCTGCCTTTCTGGTTTAAAAAGGTGTTCCCACTATTATATCATATGGTCATATATTACAGTTCAGGACAGATAATATGTAAGTGCTAGCTCCACGCATATGTTGTAGGTGAAGTGATCCTCACTCAGTTTTTGCCATTTTTTTCATTTCTTTCACTTCAAGAATCCTGTTTATTGTGTGATAGTGTAGCCTTATTTTAGATTCAGAAATATGTACTGAATCTCCTTAGAGGCTTGAACTAGTCCACTTGTTCAGCAGGCAAACCATGACACCCATTTCAATACAAGGCTCTCTGTGCAGCGCTATTTGCATTACATGTAATTAAAATCTTCTGAATTTCACAAGGCTAGGGCAGGGCATGCCTTCAGGTGCCAAGGATTCACTTAGCGCATGAATAAGTGTGTTGTCACTGAGGTATTGTGAAATCTGAATGCCTCTTCTGCTTGTAACCATGTGCAGGTCAATGCTATCAGATCACCATCTTTTGCAACGTTTGTTATGATTACAGTACACAGGAAGTAAGATTGAAGCTACCTCTGCTTTGTATAGGAGGTCTAGCCATATGGCCTCCAGAGGTCACTTTGAACTATCTTACGAGTCTCTGAATACTATTTTTCTAATCTGGGATGTGAATGAGGACACAAAAGAGAACAGATGTGCTTGGTCACATCACATACCCTGTCCTGTCCTGTCCTATCCTATGTCATTTGAGCATGGCAGTATGTAGTCAGCTTTCTGTACTTTGAGGTCATGCTGACACTACGAATCATGCAGCTAAAGCCTGTTACTTTTACTGGGTGTTGCTACCTGCTCACTGTCCTCATGTTCTACAAAAAACACTGGAAAACTGTCAAATAAAAAAACAGTTTAAGTTCTGCAGGCAGCACTCCAACTCCCAGACTGCATGATCTCTCTGTTGCATTGCTCCAGGGGTAGCACAACGCCATCAGTCCCACTGTATTCCCAGCTCTAAATGGCCCAGAAAGGGAATAAGACATGGGCTGTTACTTTCATGGCAGTAATATGAGAGTCTTGCTGCTCAATTGTTTTGCTTTATCTGCAACTGGTGGCAGAAATCCAGGAACCCTGGATTTACAGTCTTTTCACTGTGGAATTACTCAGTATTCATTCTTTTTGGGCTCAATCCAAACTTTATTGAAGTCAGTGCAAAGAATCCCAAAAGCTTTGCTGAGCTTGGGATCAGGCACTTTGTCTATTTTATGACTAGAGTCCTGCTACAGATGGAAAATGTGGTTGGAATTCAGAAAACTGTATACAGTGCTGAAGAAAATAGGAAAATAGAGGATGAGAGGATGTAAGGATGTTGATTAGAGAAAAAGATTGCACCTTTCACAACCTGTTCCATGTAAAGAGTCATTTTTCTTCTTTTTTGGATGTGCAAGCTGCTTTAATAGCAACAATCCAGCAACATAACTTTTCAACACATAAAATCAGTTCAGAAAGTGGTAGCTACAAAGTAAAGACATTGTTTTTCATATTTTTTTCACTGTTAAGAAGAGGAAGAAACAATAGTTTTTAGTGTGATTTTCTAGGTTGGGTTCTAAGCAAACCTTCAGCTTTGTACCCAAATAGTGTGAATATGCCTGTATTAGAATTACAGAAAGGACACAGGAAACAAAATTTTCTGACATCTGCTTTACCCCCAGCATTAACCTTTCTCCAGACCTTTTATTCAGTTCTGGTACCTAAAGTATGGATGGATAAAGGCAACAATAAATGTCTTTAAAAAGTTTTAAATTTCAATCCAGTAAAATTTCTCTATTTCTGTACTGTTTTCAACTAAATTGATATGATAAAATCACAGTAACATTTAACATGATTTTCTTGGTTATCATGATTCTATGCATGAAAACACACTGAGCATTAAAGATTATGTTCCAAAAGAGCAAAATGGCCAATATAGAATGAGGAATATTGGTTTCAGTATTTTTAAATATCGAACAGCAGCAAACTAAAGAGACACTGTTATTTAAACATGACATTGCAGAACAGACTTCTGACCTGCAACAGGAGGCAACGGATGACTGCAAGCCATTGAGACCCACAGTGTTGGAAGGTACTGCAGGAACCTAGCCTGGAAATGGCTAGGTTTTACTGCAGACCTCAGTTTTATCTTATCAGGTCTATTCTCAGGGTTAGAAGTGTCTCATGAAGGAGTCAAATCCCCTCAGTTCACATAGAGACAAGATAAATGAGGAGGAAACCAAGGTCTGCTTTCCAGTGCAGTTCAATCAATGTGCTATTGACCAAATACTGGTGAGGCCTGGCCCTAAGCCACAGCTGTCCACATCAGATATTAATATATACTGAAACTGCACCAGCTCTTTAAATTGTTTTATTTTGATTGAGCAGCATAAAATCTGCTTAGTTGTAACCACACAGCCCTTCATAATAAAACTTCCTTCCAATTCTGATCAAGCCTTTGGACTTGCATAGCCCAAGAAGTACTGTTGTCATTGGCTACACAGTGGTTAAATGAGTGAACTAATAGTCCCTGACCCAGAGAGCGATCTCTCTAACTGCCCCATGGTTCTCTTAGGTCACTTAAATATCACAGCTGCTCTACCCACATCAAGCCAATATCCACGTTACAACAGCTGGTGCCAGTATTTGTTTTAGTTCTGTTGTTCCAATTGCAATTGATAGGTTTGCTTGCAGTAGTCCTTTCCAAGGTGATGAGAGACTGAGTCAGCAAAGTGTATCTGGATAAATTAATCTTCTATCTCAGCAAATGTATAGTAACCAAAGGTCCTGTTATACAAGCATTTGTGAGGTAGATAGAACTCAGTGTCATACATAGTGACATATACTTACACACACCCCCTAGCTTCATCAAAATACAGTATAAAAAGTCACAGTATCACGGTATCACAGTATGCTAGAGATTGGAAGGGACCTCAAAAGATCATCTAGTCCAATCCCCCTGCCGGAGCAGGAACACCTAGATAATGTTACACAGGAATGTGTCCAGGCGGGTTTTGAATGTCTCCAGGGAAGGAGACTCCACAACCTCCCTGGGCAGCCTGTTCCAGTGTTCTGTCACCCTCACCGAGAAGAAGTTTCTTCTCAAGTTTAAGTGGAACCTCTTGTGTTCCAGTTTGTACCCATTACCCCTTGTCCTATCATTGTTTGCCACTGAGTAGAGCCTGGCTCCATCCTCGTGACACTCCCCCTTTATATATTTATATACACTAATAAGGTCACCCCTCAGTCTCCTCTTCTCTAAACTATAGAGACCCAGCTCCCTCAGTCTTTCCTCATAAGGGAGATGCTCCACTCCCTTAATCATCTTAGTTGCCCTGCGCTGGACTCTCTCCAGCAGCTCCCTGTCCTTCTTGAACTGAGGGGCCCAGAACTGGACACAATATTCCAGATGCGGTCTCACCAGGGCAGAGTAGAGGGGAAGGAGGACCTCTCTCGACCTACTAACCACCCCCCTTCTAATACACCCCAGGATGCCATTGGCCTTCTTAGACACAAGGGCACAGTGTTGGCTCATGGTCATCCTGTTGTCCACTAGGACCCCCAGGTCCCTCTCCCCTACACTGCTCTCTAACAGGTCGTTTCCCAACCTATACTGGAACCTGGTGTTGTTCCTGCCCAGATGCAGGACTCTACACTTTCCCTTGTTATATTTCATCAAGTTACTCCCTGCCCAACTCTCCAGCCTATCCAGGTCTCGCTGGATGGCAGCACAGCCTTCTGGCGTGTCAGCCACTCCTCCCAGCTTAGTGTCATCAGCAAACTTGCTGATAGTACACTCAATTCCCTCATCTAAATCATTGATGAATATATTAAATAATACCGGTCCCAGTACTGACCCTTGAGGCACTCCACTAGTTACAGGCCTCCAACTAGACTCAGCCCCATAGACTACAACTCTCTGGCTTCTCTCCTTCAGCCAGTTCGCAGTCCACCTCACTACCTGATCATCCAGACCACACTTCCTCATTTTAGCTGTGAGGATGCTGTGGGAGACTGTGTCAAATGCTTTGCTGAAGTCAAGGTAGACCACATCCACCGCTCTGCCATCATCCATTCACCGTGTTATTTCCTCATAAAAGGCTAAGAGATTGGTCAAACATGATTTCCCCCTGGTGAAGCCATGTTGACTGCCCCTCATAACCCTCTTATCCTTGATATGCCTTAAGATGGCACCAAGGATAAGGTGTTCCATCACTTTCCCAGGGATGGAGGTGAGGCTGACCGGTCTATAGTTACCCGGGTCCTCCTTCTTGCCCTTTTTGAAGACTGGAGTGACATTTGCTTTCCTCCAGTCCTCAGGCACCTCTCCCGTTTCCCAAGACTTGGTAAAGATGATGGAGAGTGGTCTAGCAATGACTTCTGCCAGTTCCCTCAGCACCCGCGGGTGCATCTCATCTGGACCCATGGATTTATGGATGTCCAGATTGCTCAACTGGTCTCTAACCCATTCCTCATCGACTAAGGCAAACCGCTCCGTCGACCTGACTTCATCTAAGGTCTCAGGGGTACAGGGCTCTTCAGGACTGCCTGCAGCAGAGTAGACAGAGACAAAGAAGGCATTCAGTAACTCTGCCATCTCTGTATCTTCTGTCACCAGGGCACCCATCCCGTTCATCAGTGGGCCTACATTTCCTCTGGTGTTAGTTTTATCTGCCATGTATTTGAAAAAGCTCTTTTTGCTGTCCTTGACCCTTCTCGCCAGGTTTAATTCTAAGGAGGCCTTAGTCATCCTAGCTGCCTTCCTACATCCTCTAGCAGCAGCCTTATATTCCTCCCAAGTGGCCAGCCCCTCCTTCCATGGCCTGTAAACTCTCCTCTTCCACTTGAGCATACCCAGCAATTCCCTATTTAGCCACACAGGTCTCCTGGACCTCTTCCAGGTCGGGTAGGTCCTTCATGAGAAAACGAACATGAGCCGGCTTGAGTGTGCGCTTGCAGCCCAGAAAGCCAACCGTATCCTGGGCTGCATCAAAAGGAGCGTGACCAGCAGGTCGAAGGAGGTGATCCTGCCCCTTTACTCTGCTGTTGTGAGACCTCACCTGGAGTATTGTGTGCAGTTCTGGTGTCCTCAACATAAAAAGGACATGGGACTGTTGGAACAAGTCCAGAGAAGGGCCACGAGGATGATCAGGGCACTGGAGCACCTCCTGTATGAAGACAGGCTGAGGAAGTTGGGGCTGTTCAGCCTGGAGAAGAAGAGGCTGCGTGGAGACCTCATAGTAGCCTTCCAGTATCTGAAGGTGGCCTATAGGGATGTGGGGGAGGGACTCTTCATTAGAAACTGTAGTGATAGAACAAGGGGTAAGGGGTTAAAACTTAAACAGGGGAAGTTTAGATTGGATGTAAGGAGGAAATTTTTTTACTGTAAGGGTGGTGAGGCACTGGAATAGGTTGCCCAGGGAGGTTGTGAATGCTTCATCCCTGGCAGTGTTCAAGACCAGGTTGGACAAAGCCTTGGGTGATATGGTTTAGTGTGAGGTGTCCCTGCCCATGGCAGGGGGGTTGGAACTTGATGTTCTTAAGGTCCTTTCCAACCCTAACTATTCTATGATTCTATGGTTATATGCATTCCTGCGGGTGCATCTGGTTGTTTTAGGCACCTTCAGCTCTCAGAGGTGAGGAATTTCTTGCAGCAACTTAGTTTCTCCAGATTTTCATGTCATATGCCAGTTACAAAGATTTTTCTTGTGAGTTTGAAATGGGATTCCTTTTAATCTCTAGCCTACTAGACTAGCTAATACTATTGCTAACTCGTATTGGTTTTGTAAATGATGTACACAGAACAAAACTGACTGAAAATATACATACAGCTAAAGGATACTGGACAGTTTTTATGAGCTTCTAGCATTTTATGCTTAGGTACTTTTGGCTGTTGCTTCCACACCAGAGTCAATGCTCTGGTTTGTATAGTGGACACCTGTCAGAAAACACAACGTGTCTCTCTCCTAAATACTGCTATGTCTCAGGTACCTTGCTTTGTCAAACTTTCGCAGTTTGTATTTCTCTTTATTTTTCGTTTGATGTTCACAACTCCTGCAGAATCACCTGGAGAGAAGCTCTCACTGTGACCTTGTAATTCTTCTATGCAAGCTCTTCATGCAAGCTCTTCACCAGTGTGCCTTCCTGTCTTTTCAGAACAAATCCACTTGGTATAGAGATATATTGAGATATTCTTGTTATAAGGAGTAGACTCATGACCTGAACAAATTTTCCAGTTTGTTAGCCATTTGTGCCCTCTTCCCTGTAAGATGAGCTACAGAGACTTTAATTCTTGACGAACACACCTCAGGTATAGCTATGATTGGTCCTGGTGGTCCTGGTGGTCCAGGCGGGCCCACGATACTGTTCCCATCCTGTCCTGGTACACCCTATTTCAAAAACATTAAAAATGGGAAAAAAGCATTCACTAAGTATTACTTTTAACATATGTTTCTCAGAAGGAATGAAATCCACACAGTCTCACCTGAGGTCCTGGGTCACCCTTCTCTCCTTTTGGACCCTGCATTGGATTAGAAAAATGAGCTAAGTGATTTAAAAGGAAAAATTGTAAATATGTGCTTTCTTCAGCTTCAAAAAAGCACATCAGTAAAATGCAGGTATAGAAGGCTCAGTCCCCAGGGCCTCACTCAAACCACAGATGGGGCCAGCTGGTTTCAACTCACATCCTCTGAGGATCTGATGTTAAAAAGTATTTCCCAGCACATTTGACAAGAGTTCACAGATGACCAGAAGCAAATGGGCACACAATATTTCATTAGTTGGGGATTAATTCAACAAGCTTTTCCTTCCCTGCACTGCACTGCCATGCCTGGCTGCTCCTCCTTTTTCAACATTGATCACCACAGTTCTGTCTGGTATTGCTCAATGAACCGGGAAAGGGAACACAGGTGAGCTGAACAGTCATTTTCAGGCAGGTTATTTCTAAGCTTAATCAGCCCCTCATTGAACAACAGAACTCTGTGCTGGGGACATACACAGTTTATCTGGCACCAGTGAGAGGAATGTGTCAGGGGATGAGCCTTGGGACTTCACAGCCAAAGAGCTCTGTAATCCTCACAGATCTTAAGCATGAGAAATAAATTAAAATCACTTATGAGCCTGTTGGCTTCCCTTTAATTAAAAGCAGAGCTGATATCTGCATAATTAAAGGCAAAAGGAGCATTGAAGAATCAGAACTAGCCTCTGGAGAAGCCCGTATCACTTCTGACTGGTGAAGGAGACAAGACAAGGAACACTCTGTTCTTGTATTTGGTGTCTGAGGTAACTGCTCCAGGTTAAGTAGGACAAACCCAGGCCCTTCTCTGCACATCCTGCTGGCAAGCGCTGTTAGGGCTCCCGCTGATCCTAAAGACATAGATTTCAGTGCCACTGCGTGTTACGTAATCACAGATTATGATAGCCCTACTCACCACATCTCCAGGATGTCCAGCAGTGCCAGGAAAGCCTGGTTTTCCGTCTGTACCTGGCATTCCCTGCAACAAGAAATTTACTATTATTCTCTCCAAATTATATTCAGTTTAATTCAAGCAGAAGGCTGCCACTTTTGGGAGGGACACAGTATGTTTCTGAATGAACTAGGAGGTGGGTTTGCAGGGGCCTCTATAGAGTCAGCACCATCTCATTAGTCACCTGCTGGCTCACTCCTGCTGTTTCCCCCTCTTCATAGCATGTTTTTAATGCCTCTTTAATCATTCTCCAGTGTTCCCGCCTCTGCTTAGCAAAAGAGTGAATTCTGTTGCTTTCCCCCAAGATACATTTAATGGGTTATTTCTACCCTTCAGTTATGTACTCTCAGGCTGGACGAAGAGGAGACAGAGTCATTGAATGTAGATGGGAGTTGCTATGTGAAGCAAAAATGTTTGATTGCCCCTGCTCTACTTTAAGAGTTAGAGATCCAGTTATGGTTCAGAAATCATTTCTTGCTGAGAAAGTCCCTGAACCACAAATTGTTGAAGTCAGGAGAACTATGATATAGTACTTGCCCTTTTATAAGGTCAAATTACATCTAAGCAACTGCTCAAATTGATTATGCTTTTGACACTGTTGGAGGCAGGATACAGGGATGTATGGAAGGATGTGACCCAATAAAACCTTTGAGAATTATCTAATACTTTACAGAAGTGTCTTAAAGAACAACAAAGTTGCAAAGAATCCAAAGTCAAATGGTATTCTCTGCTGCATTTCTGGTGTGATAGAAGAAATTCAAATTAACACTTCATAGGATGCAAAATCCTCTCTCATGCCATTCTACAGAAGCATTAGCATAAAAGATTTAATATGTCTAAAAGGATATTCTCACTGTTATTTCTATTTTTGTCTGTGATCAGCAAAGCATGTGGTTCAGGAATAAACAGTTCATCAATATAACATAATTTCTGAAGTACTTCAGTTTTCATTTTATAGACATGTGCAGGAAAAAAGGCATCTCTGAATGCTAATAGATTTAGGCACTTACACAAGTACAAGTATTTGGGCACCTACGTGACTAGTAAAAATGGTACTTGGGACTTAATTCTCTCCAGTGCTCGTAGGAAATTATATATATCTATGTGCAGCAAATGTAATTGAGCAAAGGAAATAACCTCGAACCACCAGCATTTCTGCAAAAGAATACTGTCATTTCAGGCATGTTGGTGCCTGTAGATCAGCTTCCTACTATTATAAATACTGAATAACTTCACCAGTTGATTTTCCTAATGAAATTTAATTTGGAAGCAAAGACTCAGGATAGGCAGGATGTTTTACTATAAACAATGTAGCAGAGACATCCTTATTTCTAACTCCCTCCATATTGTAAGAATGTAGCTATTTGCTCAAATGTAAGAGAACTAAGATACATTTTTAATCTGAAGATTGAAGAGATGGATTGTTTTTAATAGCGCTGTAGTCGCTTACAACATATACATGTGAAATTTATGTCACATCAACAGTAATAACTAGAACGAGAAGAAAACACTCGTTTGCATAATAATTAAGAATATAATCTGTAGTCTCAAATAAAATAAAAAGAATGAAACCACCGTCCTATACATCAGCTTTTAATGATCATGCTGACAAATACCTCTGTGAAATGGCAATAATCAAAATATGTACACCAGATGGAATTTATGGAAACAGAGTCCTGCTACATTATTTTATTGTTGTGGTTTTTTGTTTTTTGTTTTTTTTTAAATAAAAAGCAGATGTTGCTAGAAGACTATGATGAAATTGAAGTAGACATTCAGCAAGCAAAAGGGTAGATTCATAATTGCTTTTATCTTGTTTCCTAGAGCAACTCTTAATTTCAGTACTGTCCCAAATCATGAAACCATAGAATGGTTTGGATTGAAAGGGCCCTTAAAGATCAGATAGCTCCAAGCACCCTGCCATGAGCAGGGCCACCTTCCACTAGACCAGGTTGCTCAAAGCCCCATCCAGCCTGGCCTTGAACACTGCCAGGGATGGGGCAGCCACAGCTTCTCTGAGCAACCTGTGCCAGGGCCTCACCACCCTCACAGGGAAGAACTTCTTCCTCAGATCTCATCTCAGTCTCCCCTCTGTCAGTTTAAAGCCATTCCCCCTTGTCCTGTCCCTCCTGTCCTTGTCAAAAGTCCCTCTCCAGATTTCTTATCAGACCTCTTTAGATACTGGAAGCTGTCCTAAAGCTTCCCTGCAGCCTTCTCTTCCCCAGATTGAACAAGCTCTCCTCTCCTCTCCTCTCCTCTCCTCTCCTCTCCTCTCCTCTCCTCTCCTCTCCTCTCCTCTCCTCTCCTCTCCTCTCCTCTCCTCTCCTCTCCTCTCCTCTCCTCTCCTCTTTCCTTTCCATTTTATTTTATAATTTAATTTCACTTTTTTTTCGTGTTTAATTTTCTGTGTGTCACACATCGCCCTCTGCTGACTTATGCCTGCAAAAGCCACACAAGTCACCCAGAGCCTGTCAAACAGCAGCACAGATAAAAACAGAAGCTTTGGGGAACTTCAAGAAGCGTTCAAACCAGAGTAGACATAATGACAGAGAAGAAAGAGAGGGACGAAGGGACTCCAACTCCATCCATTTCAGTACTAATACTGTGCAAAGCAGTATAAACTGTCAGGTTTCTCTGCCAATCAGGGTCTCATGTCTAGAAGCTGCACTAGTCCAGAGCAGCAGGTCTGGGTTGCACACTGGTGTATGGGGTGAGTTAGACAACTAATACAAACTACAGCTTGAGAAGTACATTCCATGCACATTAGGGAAATTGTCTTTCCAAAGAGGATAGTGAAGCAGCAGAACATACCATGACTAGATTAAGAGAAGAAAGGCAACTGAGAAGAAATTACTGAGACCTTAAATCAAGTTAAGAAATTTCCCACCTTTGAACCTGGTGGGCCAGTGTTGCCTCTTTCTCCCTGAAAGAGAGACACAGTAAGGCTCAAATATCAAAATGAACAGTAATCACAAGGATTTTAAACATGTATATTACTTTCCTTGCAAACAGAGTGAATTGAGTAAAATGATTAGCAAAAGTAGGACATATTTTTGATAAAAAGTGATGCTCAGCATACATTTGTGAATTGGTTCTGGGAGGTTTAATTGCCCACTTGCCACCCATATCTTAGTTTCTGGTTGTCACATGTGATTTTTGCTGAGCATCAATCAAGCCACATGCCTGAATCTTCACTTTGGTGTCTGAAATCAGCAGATGGTAACATTGTGGCACCCACCAATGACAATTATTTTGTGCCTCCACAAATGACCCACCATCTTCCTTCAACACAACTAACTCAGCCTCCACACTACTGCTCTCCCCATCTACCCAGCCACTGTGTTATAGCATGAGCAATGTAGTGAGTGGTGCAGTCTTCCACGTTCAGGTCTGATCCTGCTGTATTCTAGCTCTGAGTAGACATGATTCCTTGATTTCATCACAGACAGAGAACACAAAATTTAGTTTCTTTCATATGAGGTAGAGAATATAAAAATGAATGAATCAGCAAGGAGCTATGGCCATTGCCTGGAATGTTATCTTAATGATTTCCGTCTAAAAGACAGGAGTGCTTATATTCATGACCTCATGAAGATTGTAGACTGTTTTTTAATGAAACCAGTTTTTCATAATAATAATAGTGAAAACAGAATTTGGATCTGTACTCTACTTGCTAAGAAAGAGAGAAAAATTTGATCACAGTTGTTGCGTTTTGCCACTGTTGCCTAGTGAAGTAATTTATAACCATGAAGAGTGGGTGTAAAATTCATCCCCATGACAATGGTAGTGTATTGTAAACACTTCCTATTAATTTTTCTGTAGTGTACCTGATTTTGTAAGATGTCAGGCAATAGCGTGTCCCTTTCTGTGTCTCCATGACCTTGGGGATGAATGACTCAAGACTAAACAACTAAAATCTTAGTGTAAGTGGTGGTGAAGTCTCTTAGCCAAGGCTGATGACTACCTTTTCAGTTCCAGCACAGTTCCTAAATCCTAGGAATCATGCTTACCTCCATTTCTGAAGTATTTGTGAAACAGTATTTGCACTATATTTTTGAAACAAAATTTCTAGTTAATTGCAGAGAATAAATTTGTAACAAAATATGTATTTTCAGCATGGACACTTGGCACCTACTTATGTCCATAGAGCAGCACCATGTGGAGAGCATGTCTATTCCAGCCACACTTTTGCAGTATCATTCACTAACAAATGCTGTGCAAATACTTGAATTTTTCACTCATAAATAATGTTGTTCTCCAGCATTAGCAGAAGTAGTACCCAATAGAGAGACTTTTTCAGCCCCATAATCTGAGGTGTATAGAGGCTCTAGACACGGGACTGGCCAGATGTGAATTTGCCCTCTTTTTTCTGTTTTGTTGTTGGTTTTTTGTTTTTTTTTTAATCTCTGCATTTTTTTCTCATGGGTTACTTAACCAACAGCAGCATCAAAGTGGAAAAATTCAGTCACTTCTGAGCTCAAATAAAAAACAAGGCATAGCAGTCATGGCATGTCTCTTCTTTCCCTCAGCATCTTCCAGAACATATTCCTGTCACTTTCTGGGATTATGCCAGAAGGTCTTTTTCTGCAGGTTTCTGTTCCAACAGCATACATGTAACCTCTTAGAAACCAAAATGATGTATAAATAAGCAACAAAGAGAAACTGCCAAGTGTCCTTGGAAAATTTAACAAAAAAGCACCAAGTGCCTTGGAATGTAATGGCTCAGCTGATATTTACTCACTATTCTGGTGTGGATGTAAAATAGCTCTATTAATACACATTCTGGATGGATAAGCAGTGTGAATGGGAATAACATTTGTCCTACACTTAGTCAGTATATGAATGTTAAACAAAAGCTGTTTTGTTAAGGCAAATTCTGGGAATATAGAAATAAAAAAAATATATATGCCAAAGCAAAATAGGTTAGCTTTCAGGTGTTCCTTGTTGTACAGGGTACCTTTGGTCCTAATGGCCCACGCTGTCCATGTCTTCCTACAAAACCCTATAAAATTACATTGAATTTACTGGTAAATCCGTGTAGCATTTCATAATAAATTTTCTCAGAAAAAAAACCTAATTCACAAACACAACCAAAAACCAAAAAGCAATGTTGGAGACCAGTAGCATCAATGGAGAGTAATAGAATGTGAGCACTGTTTTAGATCTGTTGTTCTAATAAATATTGCCATGCTCGATATTATCATGCAAAGATCTAAAGATCTTTTTTCTTTCAAAGACAACTTTAATCTCGTCACTGCATACTATGCGTATTTTTAGAAAATACGAGAAATAAAACTGTTCAAGTGCATTTGTTGTAAGCCATTGCTTTCAATGGTGTACAAATTTTTTAATTTGCCTCCTTGGCTAAAATTAAGATATGTGACGAGTTTCGAGACAACACAGCATTGTCTTGCTAGGTTTAAAAGCAGCTTGAAACAAACATTTGCGGAAGCAAATTCCTCTCTTGTCTCTATATGGTGACATCAGTTGTAGCATACAATTATGACTCTGATGGTAAAGTGAACAACAGCTCATTACTGATCATTTTAGAAAGTTGAATGAAAAAATAATTCAACAGAGTGGTTGAGTTCTCTTCATCTGGAATATGATGACAAGACACTAATAAACCAAACACCAACAAAACTTTACATCGATCTGTGTAAGAATGATAACAGAAACCCTGGAAATGATAGCAAACCCTGAAGACAAAATAAGTTTGGTACTTCAATACATGACCACTACTTTCTCATGAAAGATTAATAGAAAAAATCTACAGATACAAAGCAATGCAAATAAGTGTAATTTATTTCCAAGCAGCTGCTTTAAGTTACAGCCTTCTTAGAAGCAGATACACTCTATTCACTCAAACACAATCAGCAACCTCTGGAGTTGTTATAGGATGTAAGCAGCTTATAATACTTTCATGCAGAACCAGTAAAAATGCACAGCATAATCATTTTAATAACTACAGAAAAGCTCTTATGTGCCCTTTTTACTGACTGAAACTTTGTGACTCAGCAGCAACAGGAAAACAAAATTCCAGGATTTTGTTCAGCTGCAATGAGACATTTTTTCAGTATTTATATCTGAGTGACTTGGAAACAATGCCTCTTACAAAACCAAAACAGAGAGTAAGGCTGGCATTTAGGCAGGTCAGACTGTGCAATTTTGGCACTGGTTTTGGACATCTCGTTTTGGACACTTGCTTGTTTCAGCTAAAGAACTATATTTTGTAACTTCTGTAACAGAAGTATTTCTTGTGCCACTTCTTTAATACCTAGGGAAAGATATGAGCAGGCAAAGGTCTCAAAGATACTGAGTCAGCTATAACTTTAGTGACTCAGAATTACTCATACTTAAAACAATCATGGCAAAAACGTTCTCAAACTCACTCCTCTCTCCTGCATTCAGTTAATTTCTTGGGATTTCTATGATTCATGGAATCATAGAGACAGGGCTGTACAGGGTCTCTGGAGGCAAATCTAATCCAATCACTGCCTTGAAGTAGAACCATCAGCAGCTCTAGATCAGATCAGTCATGTCTCTGTCCAGCAAAGCCTTGAAAACTTCCAAGAACAGAGCTCCTACAACCTCCCCAGGCACAGTGCCCTGGTTCTGCATCAACCTCCTTGTGAACAGGTTTCTTCTACTGTTTGGCCTGAATTTCTCAAGCTGCAAATTGTGATCACTATCTTTTGCTGCACCATCTGACACTATGAGAAGCAGTTTGGTTTCATCATGCTTGCAATATGATGAAACATCAAAGACTTGTAAGCAGCTATTGGATCATTCCTTGTCTCCTTTTTGACACAGTGTCTCTGTCTTCTCCACGTCCACCTTGAAGTGCAGTACAAAACCCCTGGATTTAGTATTGCAATGCAGCCTCACTAGCCCTGAGTAAAGGGCTATAATAATAACTCTGTATCTGCTCTTTCTGATGTATTCCAGTATAGGGGTTGCCTTATTTGCAGTGACAGTGCAGTGTTGCTTAGTATTCAGTCTGGCATCTACCATAATCCAAGGTCATCATCATCACTTACTCCAGGTCTAGGTAACAAGACTCATTCTGTCAAAGCTATGCTTTGAAAGTCTGAATTTTTCTTTTGGAGTGAGCACAGAGGTAGAACTTCTGAAGACCAAACTAGAACAATGCAGACAGCTCTGGGAGAAGGAATGCTGGATAATTGCCTGCTTTAGGGAAGGCATCACAGGCTACAGTTTTGATGTTATTGCTGAGAATGAGGATAAATCTAAATGTTCTCGTAAGAACTCACACATTGTATTCACATATTCCCTACTTGGTGTTTTAAAGCAGCCCACACTAGCAAAAATCTCCTAAAGACACAGTGATGGAGTAAAAAACACCCCTTATTCTAGGACATTGCTTCCACACTACTGGGAACATTTCTTTAGTTTAAAAGTGGCATTTCAGATTATGTCCATTTGATTGCTAAACTATGACATTTCAATTTCAGTAGTGTATGTAATTCATCTTCAAAAACAAGAAGGGCATCTATTAGGGTAAAACAAGAAATAGAGAGCTAGATAATAATAATAAAAAAAACATTTCATCCTTTGGTCTCCCAGAAACACAGCAGAGCAGAATTTAAAAATCATCAGCTAATTAGGTATCAGAGAAATACCATTCAGATTCTTTGGAGGACACAGTTATTGTAATGCTATTCTAGAGCAATTTCATCCAGTACAGTGATTCCAAATCTACAGTTGACTGTGGCTCTGTGTTTCCAAAAAGCAGAGAGCAGGACACAAAAACCAACTTGAAAACCAAAAAGTGTTCCCCTCTTCCAAAGCATCCACTTACCTTTGGCCCTCTTGATCCTGGAATTCTGGATTCACTTAATAGGTCAAGGCTACCTGATCCTTCCATGTCCTAATGAAAAAGAAAAAAATGATAGAGAATTTACCTTTTGGTTGCTTTGTTTGTTGGTTTTGTTGCTTTGTTGTTTTTTTTTTTTTTTTTGTGGGTTGTTTGTTTGTTTGTTTGTTTTGTCCCAGCTGCTCTGTTTTCTGGAGTCCTGTAGAAAGCTGAAAAGATACTGAACAAAAATATAGTTGTCTTCTCTCATGAATCCTTTTTTGACCAATGTATGATATTCTGGAGATAGGCTCCACTCAAATGCAATAAGGACATGCTGATCCTGCTTACAGAAAATCCAGTCTCTACAGTCTTGCCAATTTACCAACCCATGCAAGAACCAGGAACTGCCAGTTCCAAAGCAACCAAAGAAATAAAATTGCAGGCTGCCATAATAATCTGTTTTACTCCCAGCACCACCACCACCACCACATATTCCTATACCTTGTGTTATTCTTAATCTAGAACTTGTCAGACTGTACTTCAAACCAGTTGTATGAACCATGCCACCAGGAAACTGTTCACTTGCTTTTAGCTGCAGTTTTAAATGCAGCTGCATTGGCTTAACTGTTTCCTTTTTCTGAAAAGGGAAAATCTTAATCTTTCTTTGCTCCACTTTGCTGCTCACAGCCATACAGCCTTAATTTTCAACATCAGTGCCATGTGTTTAATCCTCTCACTTTCCTGTGAGCCACTTTTAATCACTTAAATGGCAAAAAATACATTACTTTTTGAGGGTGGGATGGTTCTCTAAAATGTTAGTAAATTAAATTGGCGTGTGGAAGTACTGATTGATGGAACACTGGATGTTTGTGAATATGAATGGCAGGCCTGTGCCAAGAACGGCTTTAGCTGGTAGTAGGAGCAAAGCAGAATCTCCTCCTCTTAGTGACAATGAGCCCTTGTATCAGCTTATCATATTTAGAGATCCTTTACTCCTTGCCTACTTAGCTTTTTGCTAGTGTCTTGAAATGGCTCACATTATCACAGATCTCATGCACTCCGGAGATGGTGTAAAGGAAAAGGTGGAAGACCAATTAGATCAGATTATGCTGCTATGGAATGACAACCTAATGCCAAAGTTATGGAAAACATCAACTGATCCGACTCCAGTGAAAAAGAGAGATCTTATTCTTTTGCCCTTTCCCACCAACCCCATGAGAATTGAAAAAACTAAGGAAGCAGGAAGAGTGCACAGCTGGAATCAGGCCCTTCCTTTCGAGGACCATGGTGAGAGACATTGAGTCATCAGGTCAAGGCCTTTCATGCAATTTCACCTGAGACTGAACATTATTCATACTTTTATTTTGCTTCACCATCAGCTATCGATGTATCAAATATCAGCACACAATCTGCTGATATTTTTTCCCTGTTTAACCAAATGCTCGCTACTTATATTAAACCACAAGCTATGCTTCTGGGTCCTTCTTTCCCTTGCCTCCACTGTGCCAATATTTTTTTTCCTTTTTAAATGAGTGCTTGATGCTTGCTTTATATTACACACCATCGCTTTTGACATCAGCATGTTTTTAATGGGTTTACCAGGTACCTTCTGCAGCTCAAACTGTTTTTTTGGCAAGTGTAAGTGCCAGCAAACCCCATGCCATTTGGTTTTTGCACATAGCTGATCACAGATGCTAGCAAGTGCTAACAGGAATGTTTTGCAGAAACAGCCTTGCAGCAATAAACAGACTGCCAACCAAAAGGTAGTGTTGCCCTAAAGAACTGGCAGACCACGGTGCTGCCTTAACAGATGGCAGGGGTGGGCATCCAAAAGATCAGCTAGAACTAGCAAGCCTGTTAACAGCAATATTCCTCTCAGGGAAATGACAATCATGCTAACTCTGTTAGGACTAGATGAAGTCCAAGATGAAGCCAGTCAAGGTATTGTTTCTGCGGTTAAAGCTGGAATCCTTCTGTGTTTGTGTCCATAAAACTGGGGACTTCCTGTTTCCACTCTCTTCTGCTTATCTGCTAACTTTCTTCCTCTAGAGACATAGGTATCAGAAGTAACAGAGTTTGGTCCTAAATACATAGTACAGGGGAACTCTGGTGGCACAATGAGGCAAAGTTGGCTTCTATTCAAATAGTGTGAATGGGGAAGACTGGAGAATCTCTTAACACTGGATCGTCAAGGGTCACAGAAGATGACTGTAAGTCAGACAAGCCATCATCCTGGGCTAAAACTCAGACCAGGACTAGGATGAAGTTGTGGCTTACCATTGTCCTTATCCCATTCTGAGACAAGTACATATTTATTCAGGAGAAGAGTCTATACTAGCCTTTACAGTGTGCCTAAGTTAAGGCAATAGAGTGTTTGTATGCTTAGATTTTATGCTGTTCCTTGCTAACAATTACAGTGCTGGTGATTAAGACCTTGTGAACTGCTCTCACTGATATCAGTGAGATTATTAACCAGTAATGTATATAGTACAATATTATTTAGCTAGACATCGGAAATCAGAATATGTCTCTAAACAAGAATTAGTGGTCACCTCTGTTCTTGGAGTACTCGAAGTGTCTCTAGAGTAAGGAAAAAAGAAATACAAAAGAGGTAAATCCAGGAGAAACTTGTGTGAGTAAACTGGTATATTTTAAACAGAACTTTACCACAGCAGTTTTACAGATGGCCACAATTTTGGTTAGATGTTGTTTACTTCTCTGCTGAAACTGCCCTCAGTTTCTATGCAAACTTGTACTATATCCCATGATGTAAAACCATGAAAACCCTGGAAAGACTTTCCTGAGTTAAGCAGCTAAATTACAGATGAAAAATGCATGGAAATATTAAACAAAGATGACTCATATGTCAATGCTGATGTAGGCAATTTTCCAACCTCTCTTCATAAATATGTTAATGCAGCAGCTCTTGTTCTTGAACTTGAGCATGCTCCCTTTGCCTTTCTTTTCTGCAAAGCAACTTTTTGCTCCAAAAGCATCATCTAAGTTCTCAAAAGACTTGTTAAGCTCAGTTTAAGCTGGCCAGATGTCATATTTTAAAGTGATGAAAGTATTATTTTCAGAAGCAGATTTGTCATTTTTGGGTTTGGTTTGTTGGTTTTGTTTTTTTTTTAATAGAACACTTTTCCTCTGAGTAGAACAGACCATGAGGTCAGAAACGTCCAACATCTGTCTCTGAATTTACATGCTATGTAAGTGACACGCCTAAACTAAACTTGCAGCCTCAAGAATGACAGTGAGGGATGTCATAGTTTAAGGGGGACCTGCAATTTGATTTCAGCAAATACTGACAGGTCTCTATGCACATTTAAATCATTGCTTTAAATTATTTATATGAAAAAAATAAAGTGCTGAAGATTTCCCTTGTAGTACAGTATTTGAGTATTTTATATTAGCAATGATATAAGAATCAAAAATAGTATCTGAACGCTGTTACTACTGAATAGTTTCATGAAAATTGCCCCAAAAAGTCCTTTAATTCTGTAGTCTAGCACGGTCAGTTATATAGTCAAATGTAAAAGGAATTGTAGGCAAATTTCAGTCTTGAGCAAATTACTGTCATCTGTCATCAGTTCAGCTTTGAGCTCTCCTTCCTCTGAAGGAAGTAGATCCATAGCTACTACAAACCCCATGATAGCAAAATACCTCAAATCCCAAACTGTAGCTGAGTCCTGGGGGTCCAGGAGGTCCAGGGGGCCCAGGGGGGCCGGGAGGTCCTGGTGGTCCAGGTTTCCCAGGAGACCCAACAGCACCAGCCTCTCCTTTAGGACCTATTGATCCAGTGTCTCCAGTATCACCCTAAAATAAAAAGTCAATCTATTGGTAAACAGAACACGAATAAGTAAATGCAAGTAGAATCATAGAACCACAGAATGTTTTGGGTTAGAAGGGACCTTAAAGATCATGTAGATCCAACCTTCCTGCCATGGGCAGGGATACCTTTCTCAAAGCGCCATCCAACTTGGCCTTGGACACTTTCAAGGAGGCGTACATTAGTCAACTGAGAAGCCAAGTTTGCCAACTTCGTTAGGTTTCACAATAATAAACTTTTACGCTTCTCACACCTTTTCAGTAACACGTTTTGTTACAGTGATACTCTTACCACATAAAGACACTGTTTTTATTTTTTTTTTACCTTTGGACCAGCAGAACCAGGAACACCTTTATCACCCTGTAAAAGAAAACCAATCCTAATTACTTACAGTAAGAGCACAACAAAAACACACTTATAGTATTTTTGCTTAATTAAAATGTCCACAGATTTCTTTGGTGTTTCATTTGATGTCATAATGTTCTTTACATGAAACATTAGACATAAGAAAACATTGTCTTCTTATTTAAAAAGAAAAAAAACTGTAATTCAGGAGTTATAACAACAAATGAATAGCTCTGGTCTGGTATGCAGTCAGGATGCAATCCAATCTTGTATTTCAATTATTTCTGCAGATTCTGTGTCTGGAGCACATAGAATTAAACACTGAGGGTCACATCCTCATGCTTCTGAACTTAAATGTCAAAACTCTCATGGGATATCACAGAATTAGAAACTGATCCCACACAATTTATCTAGGGCATCATTCCAAATAAGGGATATGATGACTAATATGATTTTAAGGTTCCTCTTCAGCAATCAAGTTATTTGATTTGCTTTTTTTACTTTACTTAGATACTGTTTTTTTCCACTTCTAGTTCTTGGAGTAGATAGAAATTCACAGCACACAAATACTTCTTTTCCAAATTGCACTAAATCTAACAGGATTAATTATTATACTGGCAAGCTCCTGTCCTTACTCATTCAATAGAAATATTGCTCAAGTGAGGTATGAAAAAAATGAGTAAGGACCAGGATTAAAACGATAACAATGTTTTCTTCCAAAAGTAATGGCAAAACCCCCACCAAATTCCACTCCAAGGAATAAACTGACTTTATTTTCAATGCAACCTGCAGTTTCCCCCCATAATCTTCTCTGGATTAATCTGGAATAATGATTAAAAGTATAAATTGCAATATAGGTTAAATCAAGGTTTCTAGTAGAAATAGAAAAATATTGTTATCCCAAGGTGTTGGGGATTGTATTGAGCAGGTGCAAATATGTGGTGCCTCAATTCTAATTAAAATTTTATCAAATATGCACATTCAAAAAACAGGCTCAGGGAGGTTTTGATTTTTTTGTGGATTTGTCCTTGGCTTTTTGAGGATTCTGTGCTTTCTGAAAATTTTATCTTTCTTCCAATTACTTTCCTTGTTAGTCTTTTCCTATAATATGTGATTCAGGATAAGTTAATTTTAGCTAGACTTCTTTCTAATATTTCTTTATATAAAACACATACCACTGATTACAATGAACACAAGATTTCGATGTCTGCTTTGTAACATATATACTGCATCTTCTTGACAGCTACTGGTTCCAATGTGCGCTGCAGTTTTACCAACTTTTTGTAATCACAACTCAGATTCTTCAATCTCCAGAGAAGAATTTTTTTTTTAAAATCTTGTAATTAAAAAAAAAAAATCTATATAAAAATCAATATTCTGGCCATTACTTTCTTTTACAGTGTGTCAACTTTCAGTGTACACGTGGGAATGTATTTTCAAGATCTTGTAAATGGACAGTGATGCTAAAGCTCAATAGGGAATGAAATTTTCCTGGAGTCTTTGTCTCTATCTTCTCTACAACCTTCTTGAAGTGGGGTGCAAAAAAATGGATTGAGTATTTCAAATACGGACTCAACAGTCCTCATTAAAGGGTTATAATTATGTCTTTATATCTGTTGGGCATGCTTTTACCTCTTTTTCACCAGATTAAATGGTTTGAGTTTCTTCAGCCTCTCCTCATTAGTCATGTACTCAAGGCCCCTGCCTATCTCCATAGCTCTTTTTGCTGCAATGTCTCTGTCTTGTCCACATTCTTCTTGAAGTTGGGTGCAAAAAAATGAATGCAATAATTTGGGCAAACATTAAAAAAGTGTGGCAATTTTGCAATATGTACTTTCTGGTTCTATGGCAACACATGAAATTCTGTCTTCTGGATGCTATGATCCCTTGCTTTCATCTGTATGTTCCCCACTCCTCCCCTTTTTCTGGCTAAAGTACTCATCTGATCATGCATAAAGCCAAACAGTGCAGCAAGTGAACAGAAAACTGCCAGGTTAGGATCCTGAAATGTCTAATTAAGAGTTGAAGGAAGGCCGAAACTGCCACAAATGTGGAAATGGCATATCCTACCTGGGGGCAGCAGCAGTGGAGTAGTCAGCAGTTAAGGCAAATATGGGCTGCTGCAAGGTAATATGCTGTCAGTCTATGCCAGTCTGGACTAGTTGGAGTTTTCTTTCTTCCCCATAGTAGCTCATATTGAATTTTGAATACTGCATGCTGCAGAAAATGAGACTGTACCCAACAGGGAATTCTGGATTTCTGAATATGCCTTTTGAGATACATTCTAATAAGCTATTAGCAGCTCTATTCAATTAAAACCAATTGAAACCAGCCAACACTGCATTGCAGGGACAATTATTTACGATTTTTTCAGCCTAGAACTGACAAAGATTTTTCATTGAAGTGGAAGCAAGACAGACTTACCTTTTCTCCCTTCTGTCCTGGCGAGCCAGCCACTCCATCAAGACCAGGAGGACCTTGAGGACCCTGTAGATGTAAAGCAGGGTAAATCTATAAAGTATAAAGACGTATAAAATCTATACATCTGTAGAGATGTAAATCTAAAGCAGGTACCACGAGAGTGCATGTATGTAAGTATTTTCGATCAACTGATGATACAGCATTATAAAAGACTAATGTGCAGCATAAGATAGCATATAACACCATTAAGTTCTATCAATCATTTGTATTTCTTGTCTTCAGAGTTTTGCTTTGTACCAAAGCCATATCTAAATATATTTCAAACAATATGTATATAAAAGTATAAATTAATGACAAAATAATACAAAATAATATAAATAAGCATAATGTAATTACACAGTTAGCATGAAAAATAATGGGGCTATCCAAGCAGGTTTTGACAATATTACTACAGATATGATGGGAGTTGATGGTGGCACACCTGCCATCCGCACTTTTGACAACCTCAGTGTCAGGCAAGGACTAGCTGAGAAAATGTTGGTATTGACAAAGTCAGAAAGTGGACCAGGTTTTCTGTGTGCCTCACTTTAATTTTGCCTTAAGACACACATTTTTAGTTCTCCACCCAACTGTGTTGTATCCATGACCTAGCATGCATTTGAGTGAGCAGTATGGCTGGGAAATAATGGCTTTGTAGGGTCAACCAGTCAATCTGTGAAGTATTGAAGTCCAGCCCTCAGTAACTATGCATGAAAGAAAGGGAGCAGTTACACACATATTCGTATGCTCTGTGCTTTTTTCAATTTGGCTCTGAGAGCCTTTCATTAAGTTTACAGGTGTGCATTCTGGCCTCTGAGAGTTTTTATTCATTTATTTATTCATCTGTTGTAGGGAAGGATAAGTATGGCTGCAGAAGGAGATGGAAAACATTATTTTCCTCTAGTGTTTTTAGAATGGTCACAAAGGCCTCATTTTCCCTGTACTCCTTAACTCCTCCCTCTGCCATTTTTCCCTTTGGATACACTGTATGTGATAAAATAGCTAATCAATCCTTTTCAATATGAAAAGGAAATATTTTCAGTATGCTTCAAGCACAATCACGTTGTATTTTGCCATGATTGCATAGACACAGGAAAATTAGAAGAGAGGTTGGGCTAACAGCAATAATTGCTCTAAATTTTACCGACTATTTTCCCTGAACTGCTTAGCAATTTTAAGTTTCATTGCTCCAAAATTGCTTGTTTCCTTTATAGCTTTTGAGTAGTCTCTGTCATGTAGCTAGCAAGCAACACTTGGAAATTTGTTACTCACTTCAGGGTGTATTCTTTCATTTGTGAACTACTTTTAAAAAATTACCATAGAAAATATCCATATGCAATACCATGAAGCACTTCAGTTTCATGTAGCATTTAGGAAATATGTGTTTAATCACATCAATATCACGTCAGTATCAGATGCAATGTGGAGCAGTTAGAGAAGCAGTATTTCCCATTGCAAAAGGAGGCCTTTACCCAAACATTTCCAAGACACACTTCTCATCAGGAAAGATGTTATGTCACAAAGTCCTTGACTTAGGAAGAACTTCAGCCTGCACACAACTTCAAGTAATTGACTACTCTTTTGAAATTAGGATTTGCAAATGAATTTAATTAACATCTATTTCAATGTGTTACTGAATGAGGATTCCAATCCAAAAATTTTTTCAATCATTAAATTTTGCTTTTACTGATCCTAGACTCTTTGTATTTTTTTTTTTTTTTAATTTTTATCTAAACATAAAGAAAAACATGGGAAAACATGCCTGGTCATGGAGTAGACTGCTTCTGATAGTAAAGCCTTAAGATGCTAACAGTCTTCATTTTACTAAAAAATGCTTCTCCATTTTGAATATATAAGCACTGGGGAGCAACACTGAATTTACATTAGAGGGCAGAAGACCTATAATTATTCTCTAAGGATACTGTGGTTCTGAAGATACTGTGGTTCTGAGAAATGTTTCCAAAATAGGCATTTTCATGACAGGTCTCTGCAGGATTTTTTAGAATGCTTGACACTCTCCTAAATCCCAGAGGATGTGGTTTTTTGCTAGGTCTAAGCCACTCATTCAGTGACAAAATAGCTTACCTTCAGACAATTAAAATACAAAGTAAGGTAATTAATTGAAAGCAAGGAAAGTCTAGCTGGGTTTTGCATTTATGTAGAAAAGCTATGCCTTTTTCCTAGTTATATTATAGGACTTCTGTTCATGTTTAAAGTGAGACAAAAGGTACAATGAAGTATATGCCTAAACTGTTTCAGTGCCATGGTCTTTAGCACTAGCCATTCTCTTAATCTGGAGTATTCACAGCACTTAGTGGGAGTAAGAGTTTCTATGTATCTGAAGAGGAACAAGGAGGAGATTTCCTGAAGGAGGAAATTTATTTAATTCAATTTATGCTAAAAATTCCCTGCAGATTAGGTAAGTGATTTAGCAAACTTCATTTTCTGGAAAGCACAGCAGGAAAAGTAATCCTTAGGCTTATGCAGTGTTGGTAAAAACATCCTTACTTTTTATTTATTCTGGTCCAGATTGACCAGTATGTCTGCCAAATGTACATCCTGCTGTGGATTAATATGCTTTGGTTAACTAGACATTTATTATATATATTTTTTTATAAAAAGTATGCATAAAATCCAAGCTCTTAAGTTAAAAATATTCTGCAATATTCTTAAGAATTATATGGGCTGTAAGACTTAGCACTTAGCCTTGTAGGACAGAAGCAACATTAATGTTTGTGCATAAATGGCTACTCACCTCAGGGCCTTCTTCACCAGAAGCTCCGTCTTCCCCTGGTGACCCAGGAGGTCCTACACCTGAATCGGGTGCGGGCTTTCCTGGAAGACCAGGACGTCCGGGAGGCCCTGGTGGCCCAGGAGGACCCTTGAAAAATCAGTATCATTGTTAGAAATGACCCTAGCCAGGTTCATTTGTATATATATGGAAGAGGAAAAGTTCACACAGACTATTCAGATCCATAAAACTATCAGCTTGAGTTACCATCCACTTTCTGCTTCATTAAGAACCAATTTTATATTCACAGATACACACTTCACCTAGGGCACATTGACCTCCTCCATCCTTGCTCTCTGAACTATGCCACCTCACCTTATGGCATGCACAGCAAGCAGGAAGACAAAAACCAAAAAATTCTGTCTCGGCTCTCCTTAGTTCAGTACAGACCTTAGAGATACACCAGTGATCGACCTAATGTTAAACTTAACCCTGAGCACATGGAAACGGTTAGTTTTTTCTGTTTATTTCAAAGGGTTTCGCAATGCTATTGCTGCAGCACTGAGGATGTGTATTCATGGTCAAGATCTCACTGTGCTAAGTGCTGTAAAAATGGCATTTGCTCCAAACATCTATCCTGTGTAGACACGAGCATTTAAATTTAATAAAGTGAATGAAATATGTTACTTGAGGAGAAATAGTATGTTTACAAATACTCCTTCTCATGTGCAAGTTCATCCTTGTTACTGATTGTATTAGCAGGCAAACGTGGACAGTTTGAAATTTTGGGGCATGGAACTCCTTCCCAGGGACAGAAGTCTGGCATCCCATGTTACACAGCCCAGAGAACCTCACTCAGGAACATGTACATGAAAATCTTTCTAACATGCACTAAGCCAAAGCATCCCTCTGTACTACCCAGCCTTCATGTGACAGTGTTAAAATTCTTCACAAGGGCAAGGATACAACGACGTTCTAATTGCCATTAAAATGGATCAACAGTGGAAGTTGTAGTGTAAAATTAATACTTAATTTTTAGAACAGTTATTATAAATTAAAGGAAGCAAAGAACAGTGTAATTCCCATCTCTCTCCTCTTTACTGTCTTCTCAGAATCAGATTAAAAGCATGTTCTCATTTTAAAAAGTCCTCTTGCTTTTACTTCTTTGTTGTCCTCTTTCTCATACTTCCTCACTCACATACACTTAGGCCTTTTCAGATCTTGAAATGAAACCCTACAAAGCATTTTTGTATGCTGTGAATTAAGTATGTACAAAATTTGCATTGTGAAATGGACCTTCTACAGTCTGGATGAGGAAAGAAAACCTCTTTATTATGCTAATGAGAAATAAACATCAATATATACTTACTCTTAAAATCTCGGTTTCTCCATCAATGTCTCCTGAACCCGATTCTTCAGGTTCCAGTCTATTCTGAAATTAGGAGAATTCCATTTTAAAATACTGCTTCTAAAGTTGCAAATGAAAATATCACTTGACAATTACAGCAAATACAATTATAGTCAATATCCCTGCAGCAGACTGTCATAAACTGTGGAAATTCTAATACAAAAAAAAACATTTCAGCCCTGTTTCTGGTGTTTCGTACCATCGCGATGTCCAAGTGAAGATCAGTAACAAGTGGTTTCCTTCAGACATCAGTACTGGGATTGATCATGTTTAATATCTTTGTTGACAACATGGACAGTGGGATTGAGTGATCTTCAGCAAGTTTGGCGATGATACCGAGCTGTGTGGTGCTCCCTGCCTAAACAAGTGGCCACTGTTTCCTAGATTGTGCCTCTTAGGTCAAAACCCAAATTCTAAGATTCCTACAACTTGAACCTAAAGAGGCAGTTTATAAAGGGAAATTAATAAAGCATTTTCTAAAATATTTTGTTAGAAAAAAGTTTGGGTTTAGTATTGCAATCTAGTTGTACTCATCTATAAGACAATTTCATAGACTCAAGCTTTTTCAGCTTTCAACAATCTTCCTATATTGTGGAACCTATAGTGAAAACTATACGCAGCATACATACTGTCAAAATTTTTTTTTAAAACCTCCAAAGAAAAAAGTATTATTCATGGTAAATTTGCCATCCTGCAGTTTCTCAGCATAGTATATATAGCAAAGTGAAACGAAGTCCAGTTATCCATTTTTATAGAGCTTGCTATGAAAGTTTCATAGAACTCATGATTTCAAAACTAAAAGATTAAACTAAGATGTGCAACAAACTTGGCTGTTGAAGTAAGACTTTTTTACATGCGAGTTCCACCACATTTAAAATGAAATGTCATCTCATATAAAAGTAAATTCATTACAGATTCCCGTTGCAAGTTCTTGATGAATTCCATAGCTGTGTATGCTTTGTAAACTACAGTCCAAAATGCACAGAGAACTAGTACCCAAATCAGTTATAATAGCACCAAAGCTAATGTTTCAAAAGCCCCTGTGTAAGGGATGCATTCCGTGACTGCACTGAGACTTCCTTCACTCGAGAATAAGAAGTCTTGAATCTTGCTATCATCACAGACAACAGGAGAGTAAAGGTGGTGCAGGACCTGGTGTTCACTGCTACATTTAAAGAAGTAGCCTTTGGGCAAGAAAAGCTGTTGGATTGGAGGACTTTGTCCTAGTGATCTGAAGCTGTCTTCAAGTCAGGATCAGTGGATGCTAAATGGTGCAGGCCTTCATAACACTGCTACTCTACTTCAATGCTGCAAAACCAGATTGGTACAGTTTAGCAGACCCTAGATCAGGGAAGCACATAATCCAGTTTGTTCATGAAGTATGTTATAAGCTATCTTGTTAAATACTCACAATACCCAGTGTGACAGATAGTTTTGTTTAAAAGTCCACTACAGGACTTCACTGCTGTTAGTGATGGGCTGTGTCTACATGTAAAATAAGGTCCCGCACCATGAACTGAAAATTCTTTTTAAGCTGCATATACATGTATCCTCATGGAAACAGTGGGAAAGTTCCTAGCACAGAAAAGAGATGAAGCTGAAACATATTCTTTAACACTGCCGAAGTACTGAACATTCAATATGTAAATACTGTCACCATGCTGGTATGTGTTGTAGTAGTTAATGACAGCAAATGTAAGTGACTGTCAAACCATTTCTGTGTTCAGCAAAGGGAAGAAATGAATAATTCAGATTTATAATGTTTTTTAAGGAATTTTTGGTCTGTTGTTCTCACATATATTATTGATCTTGCCTAGGAGAGCACACACATCGACTGGATTTCTAAAATATGAATATTGGGTGTTTACGTAAATAACATTACACATTAACCAGCCATTTATTTGCACTTCTCCATGAGTGTTTTAGAAAACATGATTATCTCTGTAGCAGTCAGGCTACTTTCCCAAAGGAAACGTCCTACTTAGTTCTGGATTCCTCTGTGGTAAACTGAGCTCAATGACAGAGAGTCCCAAATACTCACTAATCCTCTGGAAGAAGCAGATGGTCCGGCAGGTCCTGGTGGGCCAGGGGGTCCTGGCAATCCCTCGCCAGGATCACCCTAAAAGGGGAATGAAGATAAAGCAACAAGGTTTTAATCATGTAAACGAAGAGCAGGATTTTTCAGCACTGGCTGCAGCCTGTGTGGATTTCTAGTCACAAGAAATAACAAATGTGTCTGCTTTGATGCTATGAGCAGAGTTGAACTTTGTTAATTTCTAAGACAAGCTCCCAAGAAACATGATCTTTGTATTGGCAAAGGAAGAAAGGACTTTGCCCTTTCTGGCTTCTGCAATGATTTTGCAAATGTGCAAGCAGCATTAACAGTGTTAGACAGTATAAATATCTTGTCACAATGTTTTACTGTTGGTCTTGCACTTTTAAGGTACATTTTAGGCCCGTCCCTCCATAAATAAGTAAGTAGAAAGTGTGTTCACACCACGGTACTCAATAAGTAGTTTCTTCATGTCACTGGCACCATCTGTAATACTTTCTCCAATACCACCATGTCATGATTATTCCATGTGTTGACCTTTATCGACTGCCAAGACAACAAAAAATCCTGTTCAGAACTGTGCCATTTTCCCTCATAATTACTACCATCTCTTCTACTTTGGCTTTCTTACATCACCCCTAACCTTTTGCTGAAGCTAGTATGAAGGGCTTCTTCTTAAGATATTTACAACTTCTATTGAATTTTCTGCTCAACTCCAGCATTTTTCACTCAAGTCAGGACTGATGTTCTGTCTCAACTGTTTTAATCTAATTTGGAAGTATTTTATTATGTATCTTTTCATTCTCAACCGTCTATGTGCCTTTTTCAGGAGAATTCACTATGCAATATTTGGCCTTTGTATTTTAAACTCTTTTGGGAGAAAGGTGCATCTGCATCCCCTGAAATGGGAGCAACGGGTTCATAAGTAGCTGGCAGAGCAAAACATTATGACTGCTTATTATTTATGTTGGCACACAGGATCATAGGATTGGCACTCATTTAATTTCATTTTTTGAAGTCTTGTATACCACTAAAAGTGATTGAGCCCGCTTTTTACCTAATACATCTGTTGGAGGGAATGCCAGGAGAAAATGCAGTGCCTTCTTCTCCCTCCCTAGCTGTCTCACATTTCTTGCCTTTGGCATTCAATAACCACAGTTCACCATACTGATGAGTTCCTCAATGTGCATTTTAGACATTCTTCCTACATGGTGATCCTGTTTTCAGGAAAGACGTACATTTAGAGGCAAAGAAAGAGTGATGTAACTGCTCAATTCCCGAAGCTTCTCTCAACACTGGGAATGAAAAACTCAGCTTTCCCTCTACCAATGCTTTCACATAGCACAGATTGTTGCCCTCCATATTGACACTGCAGAGCTGTAAGGTGTGACCTCTTTCTCACTTTGCACCAGGAGCAGAGAAAACAGTGAAAACAGACTGTTTTCACTGAGCTTTCTTAACAGGGTAGAAGTCATAGAGACATAACTAACACTGTTAGCCAGCCTCTACTGATCTATGCTTTACCCTCTGACCTGCAAATTTGTCATCTGGACTTATTAGCACTTTATGTTCTCTAAATGCGTATGTCCAGTTCATAGCAGGAAACACTGAGTTTTCCCTGCCTCTTGATCACTTGCCCTTTACACTTGAGAATTCATTAGATAAATGTATTCATTAATTTCTTTGTTCCCTGTGGCTTTGTCAAACGGTTTCTATAGTGATACTTTAGTCATATTCACAGAGAATGTGTTTAGTTAATTTCGGGTTATTTTCACTGTCTGCCAGCATGCTCATTTACAGATACTTTTCATTCATTTTAACATATCCTTTGCTTTTTTTTTTTTTCAGTGAATATTACATTAGCTCCTGCTAGAATTTTGTGCTTGTTTTCATGCAATTTCTTCCAAATGTGTGTACTACAAGGAAGAAAAATCCCTCCCATTTAGATCACAGTCATGTCTTGGAAGCTTAATTGTATCCATTTCCAAAGACCATATCATCTCGCTGTATCTCTGTCATCCTCCCTGACAAATCCCTGACAAAAACCTGCAAAAACTTAGGTTATAAATGAAGGCCCACTGGAGAGCCATTAGAAGTTGATTCTCCTTGGAGCAGCAGGCCTGCAGTCTTCCCTTGGATCAGGACACTATCCAAAATAACTCCTTGATGTTGAGAGCCCTCCCTTTTTAAGTGAGCGATTGCACATTTTGGATCATTTGCCGTAAATTTTAAGAATCAGAAGTGGTAGTGACAAATCCATAGAATAATTTAAATTGGAAGTGACCTTCAAAGGTCATCAAGTCCAACCCCCCTGCTATGAGCAGACACATCTTCAACTAGATCGAGTTGCTCTTACACGTGACATCCAAAATGAGTAGCTGATGTTGGTGGAGCTTTAACTGAATTTGAACAATAATTTTCATTTAGCCTCAATTTATTGGTTCCTTGACAACAAGGACCACAGTGAAAAAGTGACAGGCCAGGTCCCCACTCTGCACTAACACGTAGCACCCCATTCATTCTCACCTTTCCATTTTCAATTAGAAGAACCAGAAACGGGCAGGTGGATCTTGCTACTGTTCCTCAAATTTAAGTATTATTATGCTGAAAAAGAACTGACTGTCTTTAGAGAGCATAACTGGTTTGAATTTTTTTGTGTGCACACATCACCTCTTTAAGCTTTGCTCACCCCACTAACATAACAGGTCCTAGGAAATCACACTGACCAGGGTGTGTGTCTTCTTGGCTGTCCTGCTTTCTGCTGCAGGAATTGGGTCTGCTAAAATATAACCAAGAAAAAGCTCTGCATATGAAGCTGTCAGTGTTCCTTAGTTCTTTTCAGTATGTTGATTTTTTTTTTTTAGTACGTTTACTACACCTCTTTGAAGTATCTCTTGAAAATATTAATCCTGTTTTAATAATGGAAAATAAAGTTTAAGATGTCTTTATTAAAATTGCCACCTAAGTTATCAGGAATAAATTACAGGAGTCTTTTGCTTCCAGATATTAGCTCACTGTGGCTAAGCTGCTTCTCCTGCTGCCAAAACATTCTTCTTCTGATGCCTATTCTAATCAATAAAGTAAAGCTGGGGACTATTCTTTAGCCCTGAGGTCAGGTAGAACAAACTGGCTGTGTTTATAGAGTACTTAGGTACCTGACCCCGGGTGTCCTTTCAGCTATGTTTAAAGCTAATATTTTGAGTATGGGGTTTTGGTGCAATTTTCATGAAATAACATGAGAACTATACTGCAACTCATCCGCATGATGAGTATTTCAAAGTTAAAAGCCTGCTGGAATAGCACTGCGGCGGAGCATTTACAGTGACAGAGACAACCCGTGCACAGGGTCTTCTTGTAGCATACTGGGAACAGTTAACAAACAATGCTACACATGGGCAGTGCTGAGGCATTATGAAGCCTGAATTGGCTTGGTAAACGCACGAAACAAGTTATTAACTTAGCACTTGGACTTACTGGCTGAATGCCAATTTTTGTGTACAACATGTGCTTTAATGGTAGATTAATCCATTATCAATCACTTTATCCTGGAAGTGATACAAGTTTTTACTTCAGATGGTTTAACTCTTATTTTCATTATGTTAATTTCATAAGAGTAATATGATCATATTGCCTCTGTTAAATCACTTAGCCAGTGGAGTAAGTTGCACAGAGAAGTTGTATATAGCAATCGACTTTATTAAGTGTTACGTATATATTCCTTAGTTCCCCTGTGAAAGCTCAACTTTTTCTACAGCTGAAGTTTATTCATGTTCTTGAAAAATCCTTATGGTTTCTATTATGGCTACCCTTCATGCAGATTCATGAGTGAATAGCAGGATGTTTGAATTCTTCCTGTGATTCCCTATTAATATTATTCTTTCTCTCAAACTGTACCAAATTATCACTTGTCCAAGCATAAATGGGATCTGATTGATTGTTGGTTATTAACAGGACACATACCTTTTCTCCTTTTAGGCCTGCTTTTCCTTTCAGACCTGGCAAGCCCTGAAGTCCATTTTTGCCCTAAAAGAAAGTAATTTTTTAAATTAGACATTATTGTTTATGCAGGTTGAAGAGACTGTGCAGAGGCTGGACATAAGGGTGCTAGATTCTAACTCTTGTTTTGCACAGTGGGAGGAGATAGGGGACCTTCACCTTTGCAGCCGGCAGTGCGCAAAATGTGCTTCACCAAATCTGCTTTGCCCACAACAAAGCGGCAGCGAAGCCTGTTTGGAGGATACAGATGGAAAGACTTGGCAGTCTTCATTTGGATTTGACAGGTGAACCAGACAGATCTGATGACAAATATTTTGAAAACGATAATGCTCCACTAGAACAAATCGGGACAGGTGTCTGAAAAGTCCTCTTCAAATTTTCTGTCTCTCAGCCATTTACTTATCTAAGAGATAAGAAACTCTTCATTTATTCTGAAGTTGCTGAGTATGCTTTCAGCAGGTGAATTCTGGGCTAGAATTCCTCTTCCCTAACAACTTCCAAATTATGGGAAAATGGTCACTTGGAAGAAGCCTACTTTTAATTTCATACAGAAGTGATGGTCAAAAGAGAGTATTTGCCACTACTGCGAACTGCTGCCCTGAGTGCATCAAATCATATCATTGGCATTAGCCTGTTCCCACCTTCTACTGAAATCCTTTTTGCCTTGACCCACCTGAATATATCCAGCTCCTACCAAGTAGAATGCTTCATGACAGGGAATGTGTGGTACTACATAGCAATTTTAGCATATTTTCCATTCTAAACCTCACTAGTCAAATTAATCCCAAATAACCTTTCTATATATGTTCACCTTTTCTACCCTTAACACACACGCCCTTCCTATAGAGGCTGATCATTGGCTAGAAACTTCCACTAGCTTGAAAGTCAGTGCTATTATAAAGTGGTGCTATTTGTAATTCAGTTAGGACACAGATGCATGAAGTGACAGCAACAGGAAAGAGTAAGGAAACAAAGAAGCCAGGTAGTCAAGCGTCTGCAGGGGACAGATGCACAAACAGCAGCTGAGACATTTATAGAATATGAATTTGTTATTGTGTGGGTTGCTGGGCAATACTTCACTGTGGAGGATGCATATACAATCTGTCAGCAGCTTGCGGTAAACTGACATACGAATGGGAGTCACCTGGAGAGGGGTGGAAGGAGCATTATAGGAAGATGACAGCAAATGTGAAAGAAGAAAGGGTAAAATAGAGGACTGCAGGGACAGGAAAGTGCAGTTGAATTACTGCATAAGACTTGAGGGCTGAGAGGTACATCTGGAAAGTTAACAGCAGCTGAGGTTAGGAGCATGCAATACGGCAACATGTGTGTCTGAAGAGTCAATGAAGAACATTGTTTTTGGCCTGGAAGAGGTCTGGGTCTGAGTTTGCCCTTTTTTTTTGAAGTTCCTGTCTGAAACCAAGCCAGACTCACCAGATCTGGACTCTTGCAGAGCTGCTTATAGCATGCCATGTCTCTTTCTTTGTAACTGGGAAATCATAAATTTCTCTTAGAAACCTGGGTCCCCCTCTCTAGGCAACCTGAGGAAGTCAACTGCAGCACCAGAGCTGCCATCTAAAGAGAGGACATGAAGAAAGCACTTTGCTGCTTAAGCTTCCATGTAGCTGAGTCTCTGATAAAAAATGTTTTGTTTTGTTTTCTTCAGTTAACCAAATATGCATGAAAGAGTACTTACGGGTAACCCGTTTTTGCCAGGAGTGCCCTAAAATAAAACATCCTTGTTAGACAAGTAGATAAATCATTGTAACAAAGAAGCAACAAAAGAGAAAAACAATGAACTATAGCTTGATGTGTCATGTAGTAACAAAACAAACCAGAACCGTAAGAAATACTATCTCACAGTGTGATCTGTTTTTCACCTCTGTTTAGAATGATACAGATTTATAATTCTATATGATTTAGCATTATAGAATTATCATGGAATCGTAGAATGGTTTGAGTTGGAAGGGACCTGCAAAGGTCGTCTAGTCCAATCCCCTTGCATATCCATGTTTTACTGTATACATCTTGTGCTGATGGTTCAGAAAGCTATGACATATGAAACATCCTGGATATACAGAAGCTACTGAAGGAGGCTTGAGAGTTCTGAAGCCCAGTAGCTTTGAACATGTTCAAATATGACAGCTGGGAGGGTGGTGCAGTACTGCAAAAGCTGCCCAAAGAGCACTTCTCTATGAATATTAGCACATCAGCTGTTTGCCTTGTGCTTTCTGATGATTGTCTCTCATCAACACTTCTATAGCTGCTGAGACATCTGCAAAGCAGATACGACACTTCTTGATTTGATTTGGTGGCTCTAAAACCCCATCTTGTAGAAGTAAGACACTGTGTATGAAGTTGTGAAGTTTCAGCCCTTTATGCATGTGTGATGAGCGACCCTTTCTAAAATACATGAATTCTTTCAATAGACAGAAAATACTCACGGGCTGACCATGTTGTCCAAGTTTCCCTGGAGGTCCAGGAGGTCCTTGATCTTTTTTCTCCACATCTTCTCCTGGCATTCCTGGAGATCCTGCCTGACCTCTCTGGACCTGCACAATACAATGTGAAATATGAAAAATGTGTTGCATTGCTTTTCCCATTTTTTTCCTTTCTTCCCTCTCTCCTAGAGCTCCTGCTTTGTTCAATGCAATCAGAAACCTGTTAGGCACCATACAGATAACATACTCCATTCAGCAAAGGCAGTCCACATTAGAGATCATTCATGCAAGTTTAAATAAATTGCTCACTGAGATGGAAAAAAACAAGAGCTGGTTACCCACATGCAAGTGATCATGGTCTAACTTCAGATCTGCACAGATCTGCAGAGTCTGAATCAATAATGTAGGTTTGAAAAAGACCAGTTTCACAAACTCAGTCTGGGAAAAAAAATCGTGAATGTTAAAAATGAATGTTTAGGAATGCTTTAAACAAGTACCCTGAGATCTACAACTCTAACAAAAGAGTTTTATATATCCATTTTGGTTAAAAAAGAAAGTTATAGAAGAGGAACTGAGGAAACTGATAGCAAAGAGTAAAAATGGACAACCAGCAAGAGCAAAAATTGTCTAAGGAACAAAATAAACCTTTTCAGTTGCGAAGCTCAGACTCTAATACATACTTAAATTAAAATCCAGTATAGATGATGGATCATTTAAGTCACCGTTGTATCATATCTTGAAACAAGCACTAGGATTTGCTCACATTTTACAGCAGCAATGAAATATTTTGAGTTTCTTTAGTAACTAATGAAGCTAGGAGGCATGCAATACAGTGAATATCCAAGCGTCAGGTAGGATGACAGCTTTCAGCAAAGGAGATATTAACTGATTTTTTAAGGATCTTATTGGGTTTTGTTTCTAGGAAAGTTCCCAGAGACTAGAGGTTATTAAATCTATTACCATTACAGATCTTTTTTCCCATCTGAAAAAATGTTAGAAGAGAACATAGATAACTAAGATATGTGTAAGATCATAAGCTGAGTGAGATAACAGGATTGTTGATATAGGTCGATCCTGAAAGAAATTCCTGCTTGGACACTTACAAGACAGCCTATCCAGGATTTCTGGAAGGCATCTCTGACAGATGAAAGATGTCCAGATACAGCCTTTTCTAGAGTACTGCTAAAAAAGTGTGCTGGCAGCCTAGAGAAGCTGGGCATGGCTGTAAACAACATTTATTCATATAACTGCTCTGATACAGACATGAGTAATACAAGAATGTCAAACAATTTTGCTGACTTGCTTCAACTTTGCTCCTTTATAAGGCCATCTACTAGGAGTAAAAAGGTTGTTCAGTCTAATATTTTATTAATCAAAATATCTTTTTACTGTGAATGCCAGGAAAGCTGTTGGTTGCTTCTTCAGTGGATTTATTTTTTCCTCTCTAGGTGTTAAATGTGTGCAGCTGTCAGTAGTGAGCATACCCTGCTTCTTAAAGAAATAACTAGGAGTTGCAGATACTTCTCCAGTGCAATCCAGGAGGTCTTTCCCTTGTCAAGACATGGAATATAGGATCAGCCTCTTGGATGGTAACTTGAGTAAGGTTTGGTTTATAAAGAGATAATTTGCACAAACTATGCATTTTAAGATAGTCTGTGGGCAACTAGGAAATCCATTGATACACATTTTAGACATGGATTCCTCCAGAGTTTAGCGTGTTTTAGAGTTTAACTTCTGTTTGGACCACCTGATAATGAAGCACTGTGATAATGAACTGCTTTTATGCACTTGGTACTTCACACAGAAGCACTTAGTGAGCACTCAAAGGGCCTAATTTTAAATCTGTTTATATACCACTTTCACCTGCAAGGCATTTACTAAGACCAAGCTGCCTGCTTTTAAGGTACAAAAACCATGGGCTTTTAAGGCAAGGATTTATGTTGGTTATTTTATGTGTTTCTCAGTTTCTTAAATGCAAAATAAAGAAATGCAAAACTGAAAGAACAATTTTGGTTTGTTAGTCAAAAATCTCAAGCCCATCTCAATGGTTATAGATCCCAACTTCTGCATAGCGTCTGCATTATTGTCTGATGTCATGAAAGGGCATTCAAGAATTTAAAAAGTTGCTTCTGTTTGGCATGCTTCTAAGATGGACTAGATAAAGGTACCACCTCAGAAAAGCACTTAAAATTCATATGTTTTCTTGCTCTTGGAACAAAAATATAAGGCATATTATGAACCCATTATACAGACCTCCTCTCTGCTTACTCCTGGCAAAGTACTATCACCAGAGCCATCTTCTTCTCTTAAGGTTTTCTGTGTTACAGTGGTGGACTCATTGTTGCCTTGTTCAGTTTCCATGACAGCTGAATCTAAATAGAATAATCACTTATTAATGAGAGACAGAGCAAAATAAACCAGCCCAGAGCTATCTATCAGAGCACAGATCCTGCAAGTTGATTGAAAAAAAAGAAATTTTTTTGATTATGTCCAAAATATATTCCAAATATTAGTATTAGTCATCTAATAACTCTGAAAATTTTAGAAGGAAAAGAAAAAAAAGAAAAAAAGTGAGAATAAAATTATAAAACAGACGTTTATTTTAAGAACAAAGACTGTATTGCATCATCTTATTTGACTCAAGCTCCAGTCTAATGGTTGCCTATTTTTCATCTCTGTAACAATAAAAATAAGAGTACAACAGGTACTATCCGAAGTATGTATAAAATTCAAACAGGAACATTGTCTTTGGACTTTTTACAATAACTAGTTCTACTTTCTGTTTTCTAGGAATGTTCTGAAATTGCCTTACTCAGAGCATTATTCCGTGCTCTTATTGCCTTGCATGTTTAACTACAATGACTGAGATAAGCACCTAAATGGAGTGAAAAATGGGGGATGTGTTGGCTAGTAGTGGTTGTTGCTACCACTTAACTGTTTCTGCTATTAACAAATTGCAGCCTAACAGACTGCAGTTTCAAAGACCAAATGTTTGATGTGCCGGTTCTTTTCTAACACAAAGGATGTCCAAAACCATAGGATTTTTGATTCCTGTCATCACCCAAAATATAGCACTGGCTTTTCGTACACAGGGAAATGCCAGACTCAGATCTAGAATGTAAATGACCACCCTCCACCCCCCAAAGAAAATGAAGTAGTGCCTTGCTCTTTAACTGCTGCTTCAGAGATTTCTTCTGATCTGTGATTTCCGGAGAAATCATTTTCTTCCAAATAAGACAATATAGTTGGGGGGGCTTCCACTGGCTCAGCTGACGTATCTTCAGGCTAAAGAAAACCATAAAATCCCAAAGAACTGTTTAGACAACAGGTTTATCACATATTTTAAAGCAAGAATCTGTAGATTACCTTGCTCAAAGCATAGTAATCACAACTACTACATTTATGAAGCAAAACAGAAATCCATATCTGTCCCACTTAATATCTTGCCATTATCTGTCCTTACTGTTCTACTGCCCTTAGAAATATTATCTGTCATTGCTATCATAAAACCTGAAGTTTATTGATGGCCAATTATACACCCTCCTTCATTACCAAGTTTCTAATTTATTTTGTCTTCTATTTCATTTTTCCTCTTCACACTACACATCTAGTCAAGTTCTTGAGGAAACCTAGCACAGTACTTTTGAACTCCTCTTTTCCAAACCAAGTCATGTACACCTGTCAAACACATAGAGAGGGAATAACTCACAAGGAATATAATGTTATCACTTCAAGTCTAAGAGCCTAGAGCTGGCTAGTACCCACCCTTCCCCATGCTGTCTGTGGGTGGGCAAGAGGCAGACATTTAAATAATCTGGTATCAGCTGCATGCAGGAATGCAAAAAGCTTACTCCCTACCAGGGTTAGAGGCCTGGTCAAGTGCTGTCCCAGTGTAATCACATCATGCAAACCTGCATTTGCCATCTAAATAAGATTTAGAAGTGGTTATGTTGTCATGGTAACCCTGAACAGATTTAGTGGACCAAGCATCCTGGGGTTGAACCGTATTATGATCTAAAAATTGGCATTTAAGGCTTGTTGAAACAGTTACTATTTATTGACATGTTGATACGGCCTTTTGAATAATCTATTATATACTGTAATCATTTTCTGTGACATTTTTCCTTCTGGGCATTGATTCTAGCCTGATTATGGAATTCAAGTTAATCATAAGCAACTTCTAGGTCTTCTGAAGCAGGCATGACATCGATGTATTACCATGACATTGTCAGATCTTGAAATAACATTTTTGGCATCCAAGACTGATTGTATATATTTGGAAAATCAAAGGAAAATGTCACATTTTTACTCCCTGGGAGTGGTATGTCATGATAAACAATAGCTGTTACACTTTCAGGTCTCTGTTCATGTAAATCATTTTTTAGTAATCTAACAATAACACTTATTGAAACAAATTTTCTACCTTTTTTACTCTGCAGCAGTGAATGATATGCTGAGAATCAACATTCTTATGTGCTGGTTTTGGCTGAGATAGAGTTTTTTCCTTATAAGAGTTAGTATGAGGCTATGTTTTGGGAATTTCAGCTGAGCACAAAAAGTAAGAGAGAATATGATGTGATAGGAATCTCTAAAAGCACAAATGTTGTGGTGAGAAAAGAGCAATTATTTACTCTGTGCTCCAGTAGAGTAACATCCAAATGAGAGCTGCAGTTAACATGCGTAGAAGGGCAAGAAAAAGATGATAGTCCTTCACAAACATTAAATAAGCTAAGGAACCCTGCAGCAGGAAGATGAGGATGGTAAAATTCCCTTGGGTTAAAAAAAACAAAGCATGAAATTCAAGGGCAAAAAACTCAGCAGAGGTCCACCAAACACAGATACGCTCCTGGCTCAAGCATTTGTTGAGATGTAAATTGTTCCAGAGTAAAAGAGTATTCCCAGTAAGTGCCATATTTATGTTCCTAATCTGTTGTTATACTCTTCCTAAAGTACTGGCTGTTGAGTTGTCAAAAATACCAGATTTTTGATCTGGCAAGGTGCAATCATTCTTATGGCTGGGTGCCTGTTTTTCTCATAGGTGCCTTTGGAACTAGCCACATACAAAAAAACTAGTGACAAAATCCAGACCTCATGATCCAAAAAAATAATATTAAGCCAGAAATGTAAAGCAAATAAATAAATTTACCGTTATAGGGAGATGAGAAGGTGCAAGGATTTCTTGTGTCTCCGAAACACCTCCAACTTCTTGAATGCTGCCATTGCCACTGTTGTCTCCTGAAGCCTGTGCAAAACCCAGTCATGATAGCAAGTTCATAAAAGTCAGAAAAAAAAATATTATCTCCAAGGAATCAACTACTTCAATGCAGATTATTTCTTTTCAGTTGGCGAAGCCTTAGTGTCATTACAATGTTAACTTATTTCAGTTCTTACAACGTTTCATGAGTCACCCTTCGGAAAAATAAGTCATAGTTAATTTTCTGAAAGGCATTACAGAAAAAAGAAAACAATTCTTTTTGAGTGTGGTCAAAAAAAGAGATTCACAAACACAGTTTTACACATGATATTATGTTCTCAAGAAGAAATACTATGTTCAATCTTATGGAAAATGTTTAATAGCAAATTAATTTGAAATCTCTGAGGCACTGAGGAGAACTAATATAAGAATACTCACGTAAGGATCATCGTCTTCACAGTGATCTTCAGTAGCCCTTGGGTCAGATTTGATTGTCAGATGTTGAATTGAGCCCTACATGAAACAACAAAAACAGTTCAAGGAAGTAATATTTGAAGTAGGACGTGTGAAGTGGAGGGGTTGTGTGTGTGGAGGGGTGGGAATTAAACAAGTCAACAAAAAAACCCAGACTCAGTTCTGATTTGCTTGGAAAATGATGTGAAGCATAAATTATTATGATAATAAACTCAGTTAAAAGAAATTTAAATATATTCTTATGGTTTTCTTTTGCAAAACGTATAAAAAAATTGAAGTTGCCAGAATAAAATGGCTATCATGTCCCAACGACAATACAATTGCTATGCTGTATTATTAGTGCCCCACCTGAAAGATCTAGTTCTACATTATGTTCTATAGTCTGCAAAGAACTGTCTGCTTTTTCTAGTTAAGAAGTGCATTGCAGGTCTAAAAATGGCATGTGAAAACCCCTGAAAATGAACATGAATGATGGAAAAAGAAAATACCTGTAAGTGATGGAGTGGGTCAGGGAGAAGCCAGCTTAAAGCTTTTCAAAGCAGAAAGAAAGGAGATGTATTTTGTGATAACAAATGTTACTTTTTTTCAGAGTTCAGATTATATTTCTCAATTTGACATGCTGAAAGTGCAGCAACAATTTAATTTTAAACATTTAAGTCTTGTTTCTTAGATTACACAGACTCAGAGTGTCATAAGAAACTCGTGAGGGATGTTTTCCTTCTTATGAGGTCTTACAGAGTTAGGCATGGTGCACACGTAGTATGGAAAGATGAATATTCAAATCAAGAGCCATCATACTTACACATGTGACACGCTTGTTCCTGTTTTGCTGACTGTATATTTTGTTTCTGTGGTTTTATATTTTCTGTAGAAAAGAGCCTGAAGAAGCTGACAAATTTCATCTTTATCTCTAGACAGACACAGAATACTTCTCTGTCCATTGACTCCTCTTCAAGGAGCTAGAACCATGAATTACACCATATAAAAATATCTCGGTTATGCTCTGTCTGCTGAGTAACTACCACAGTCACACAGCATATGTGCTCACTCTAAGACATAGAAAGCGTGAGTCTTGGTAAGGAAAACTGCAACAGCTGGGGAAGTGGGAAAAACCTTGCTGTTAATGCCACCAAAAAATGCAAAATCCAGATGAGGGGAAGGTGCCATTTATCTACACTGCTATGTCTGACTTTTCTCTCTCTTTCCCCTCTGCAGCAGTCTTCTCTCCTTGTCCTAAAAATACTGAGGAATTAGAAGCAAGGAAGTACTTTTAAAGCAACATTTCTGATAGCTTCTAGAATATTTCAGAAATTAGCAAAATCTGAGATTCTATCTTTAATGATCCTCTACTTTATGTATGTTTAAAGACCATGAAATTCATGCAGTTCAGGCATCCTGAGTTTGCAGAGAATCTGAGATAACAGCTCAGTTGAACTGAACCGTCTCAAAATTTAGTAATGGGCAACTCAGGCCTTGAACAATGACAGACTAACAGAACAGTTCATTGAAAAATTATACATGAAAAGAGGCACAACCAGACACTTAGGCAGTGTCTTGGAAGTGATTCTGTGATTATACAGTATGAGCAGATTGCATTTGGAGAACAGATTTTTCCTCTTGCTCTAAAGTGTGGCTCTGGGTGATGAAGGAAATAAAATGGAGAGCTCTACTGTTTCCCCAGTGCTGCTGCTAGCCAACTACTCCAACCAGAAAAGTCATGGCCAAGTTTGCCATAGTAGGAATGGTAGATAGTAGGTATTGGATTCCGCCTCCAAGTCTTGTGCCGGCTGCTTCTTTCCCTGTTAAGGCCAGTTTGCAGAAACTGGCTTCATCACTGTTTCAGCTGTATTTGGTTGTTTTCTGGTTTCTACTTTTCTTTTCAAGCACCAGGGATAGAGTTTCTTTTTGTTGCCATAAAATCTGAATGACATAAACCATTATGTCATTTCCTGTCTAGCAAACAGAGCTTTAGACACATGAATTCCCATTAACTGGAGTAAACCAGTAACTGACATTCATTCAGAGCCATTTGTACTATCTGCTATGAATTGTTTCTATTTTGGGCAATTGACGCAAACAATTCTTGTCATACAAACAGAGCTTGAGGAGGAACAAACCATTTGTTTTTTCTACCCAAAATCAGATGTGACATATAATAAATGAAGAAATAAAGGCACACGACGTAGAGTACACCTCCTAGTTAACAGTGTTGAAGCAACCAGAATACTAGCTGAAATTTATGTATACTCACTATAGCATACAGACAGCCTATTTCAGTGGAAATGCCCTAGAGTATAATCTACCATGCATTCTTCTCACTGTACTTACAGACTTATTGGTGATAGTCTCAGCAGCTGATCATTGCATGTTTTCCTGGTGGGGTACCAAGGTGGGTCTCATTTTCTTGAACGTTTCTAATTCCTACTTACTAATCATATATTCCCAATACTCCAGTCATCCCATCTGTCCAAGAAAGGTAGTGCCAGCAGCCAGGTTTTCTGAACAACCCCTTCTACCACTTACTTGCTGTGAATCAATATGCTCCTGTAATTCTAGGTGATTAGACTAGTCAGATAAATGATAAAAGTGCACTATTCTTGCTGCTTACCAGATGAAGCTCACAACCTGCCAGCACACCTGAACTTTTCAAAGAACATACTTTTCTCTAAAGGGAAGGATCCTCTCAGTTTTTTATGCTGCTTTACTAACTTAGGGGAGAAGATATTATTCTCACAAAATACTGTAAAGTTTTGAAGTACAAGAGAAGTACAAAAACAATATAGAAAAAGTGTGACATTTCCCTTTCATTTGACTATAAGTCAATCTCATACATACTGACAACTTTCACATTTCCATATGGAAGCTTAGTGGCTGAGAATTCCAGTGGGGATGCAGCAGGAAGGATGTCTGCATTCAAGCTAGAAGGCTTGGGAGCCTTGTAGTAGTGTTTTTGGTCCTTTCTGTTTTTCTAAAGCACTTGGTAAGCTTCAAGTAATATATAAAATGTAGAAATACAACTTTATCTTCTAAGTATCTTTATCTTTGACGACATCATTCTCTTCCTGATGTTGAATGTGAAGTAAATATACCTAGCGCATAAGCGTTTAAAATACAGACTTTCTACTAAGGTATTATTCTTACAAGTTAAACAAATGGACACTCTGAAATCAGCCCTTCATGAAAAGGCCATATAAATTTATGTGATATATTTTCTGTGAAAATCCTAGTATTCGAACTGAGCATTGAACTTAATATCTGGACTATAAACTTCTGAGGTTCTACAAACATTTGCGTTTAAACCAGAGCTTGTATATCTGCACTGCCTGAACTCTGGCCAGGTAAATAAAATACAAGCTACATAATTTGTAATCTCATTTGTGATATAGCCATTGTAAGCAGACTTTCTTGGGTAGAGTACATGCATGAAACACTGAAGAATGCAAATTTATCAGGCGCTACTTACTGTGAACTTTTCCAATCCTGTGGCTCCCGCATTACCAACAAATATCCCAGATCCAGATTCAAATACCAAGGCTCGATCTGATCTTTGAAACTGAACTCTCTGGTATTCTTCACAGTCCATGAACAAAGCAACATCCTTGCCCTGAACAGTCACTGTAAACCTATTCCACTTGTTAGTCATGACTGGTACTTTAAATGAAGCAGCCTCTCGGGAGATATGGGAACCAGGCTCTGTGTAGTACATAATTATTCTCTGGGTGTTGTCATCAACTGGTGAAATTCTCATTCCCAGGTAAATAGTTTTCTGGAAGGCATCTGTTATTGCAAATAACACTCCTCCACGATCACTGTTTGGTTTCACTGTATTGACGACAGCAAAATCTCTATAGAAAGGTGATGGTATAATGGCACTTGTCAATCGACCGATGTTAGCATCTGGACCAAAGCTGTAAGCTGGAAACCCTCCATAGCCAGTGACAAAGTAGACAGAAGGAGGAAGAGGAACTCCTATTAATTCAGTGAGGTCAAGATGTCCTTTTGAGCCTCGTTCTGTAAAGTGTGTAGAAAAAAAAACATGTTAGTTAATGTGTGAGAAACATTCTTTATTCTTGAGGCGCTCAGCCCATTTAATATAAATGATTTAAGAAAGGCCTTAAAAACTGTAATGCAGTCTTATAACACTATTAACATATTTCTAATACTTTAGGCCCCAGTTCAGTCAGTGATTAAACACACCTAGCTAAATACACATGTAATTCTTTGTCCTTTAACTAACCAAGGTTACTCCTATACTAAAGAAAAGTGCATGTAAAATTTGGTGAAGTTGATCGGTAACAAGTAGTTCCTGCTTCAGCTGTCCACAAATTACAAAAAGTGCTGAATGTGTTTGCAAAGTGAATTCAGTGAAGACTGAGCAATCTTTTGCTTTCTCAAAGAAAGATCCTTTATCCTCACAAACTGAGAAGGCAGTAAGAGTTCTCTACAAAAAGCATGAGAGGGTTTCACAAATACAGGATAAAAATTACAGTGGATTTACTTTAGCCCTTGCAGTTACCTGCTTCTACAACACAGCTCCGCTGAAACTGAGAGCCTTTCCTCCCTCTACAATCTCCTCTAATCTTACATTCTTAAGTTTCTCAGTTTAGCTAAATGAGTTAAGTTTCTCATTTTATCTAAAAGTCTCAATTCTTCTTACTGGTGTACATTTTCATCCTTTCCAAAATATTTATGTTACTCAGAAGCAAACAAAGTGCTAAGGTGTAGCTACATCATGTAAAAATATAATCACTCATAAACTGTGGTTTGTGACTAAGTAACTGCTGGCTTTTTCAGCAAACATGAGAAAAGATCTTCATGATTCAAGAACGTCAGATTTTTACGTCACTTTCTTATGAACTGCAACCTAGCCCCTCTCTACATTCTTTGCTGAAAATCTTCAGATCCTGGTAAAAGAGAGGATATATTTGGAACCACTGTTTTTCATTTCCTTTCTTTATCTACTTCACACACCAGTCTCCCATGGTTCTTAGATTAACTCCATCAGACAAAAAACTAGTGTGGAAAGAGGCCTTGTGGTAGAATGAGTACAGATGAGTACGCATGAGGCACTGCCCAGAGGCACTTCCTTGTGATATCTCTTTATGAGGAAAGTTCCATAAAATGGTGTCCCTAGACAGCATTAAGCAAAGTTATCTCGCTCAATGGTCACTTAATTTTCAACCCAGCACAGGGAGAACTGATGCCACCTGTGATAATTTAACACTGCAGACATTTACAGGGTACAGGAGCTAAACACAGTCCATCTTTTATATCAGGGCAACAGACAGCAGAGTCAGTCCCCCAATCTTTTTTTCTGAATAAGTACTTACAGAAGCTGAAAACGAGTTCCCAGTCTGCCTGAATATAAGCAGTGAAGAGACACATGAAACTGGCTCCTAGCCCAGCCTACCTGTAAAGGACTAAGTCATCCTCAGATTCTGATGCATTTCACCTTCAGAAGAGCTACATTTTGGAAGCAGCCTGTACACTCTGGTCACGGCATGAGCTGGGATTTCCTGGTTGCATATAAAACCGTGGGATGTATACATGCAATACCAACCCAGAATACCTCAAGTTCTTCCTCATGTGCATAGGCTTATTTCTGCTTCTAATACCTGTAGTACTCCCTTTCCTGCCCTAGGATGTGCTAAAGGATAGTTCCAAAGTGCATGTGTTTATATTACCTGGCCACTTCAGGCATGATAATTTGCCACCAAGAAGGAGAAACTACATAAATAATTTCACAGCTCTCACCACATCTTCTTCTCCTTAAGATACTAATGTGCCACTCCCATGTCATGAGGTTTTGGGTTTCAAGAATATAACAGGATGGGTGCCTATTACATGCTTATTTGGAGAGTCTTATTTAAAGCATTATAGCTTTTATGGAGCCTTTATAAGTCTCCATAAAAGGAGAAAATGATCTTGATATGAGGAAAATTGTACTGCCAATACTTCACTTTGCCTACAGTCTAATGTCCCAAGGGACACAATGACCTTCCTCCAGGCTGGTGATTCGAAACAAAACTGGTAAAAAAAAAAAAATAAAAATTACTGTAGATAATAATGTCAAAGTTATTAGTTAAAACATGACTTTTAATCTTTCTTCCCTGATTTGTAAGCATTCCCAAGTCCTTCATAATGTATATATTTGTGTAGTGTAGATTGATGAAGTATCTTTCAATTTTTAAACTTAATTACCATAACTGTAATAGTTATATAGGCTGAATATATCCAGTTGGGGCAGTAATGGAAAAGGAGTGACAGTCCATATTAATACCACAAAGTGGACTCAAAAACTTTATACCTAATTAAAATCAGGAAAAATAAATGAATCTTGCACTTGACTCTGAAACCTGGCAAGCTGGTTCTGAAGAACAGCTAGAGAGAGGTTCTTCAGCTGAAATATACCTTTGTTATTCATTATTTATATGCAGTACTATAATGGGCTATGTGTTGCAAAGTGTTTTTTACTGTCCTAGTGATTTTGCAAAGAAATGGTAAATTATTCTCCCTGTGCCAAAGTTGTTACAGTCCAGTTGAAATCAGTTCTAATCTGTAATCCTCTCTGTACTTGAGCCAAGTCTGATGTTTTGCCTGATAGATTTTGCCCCTTCCTAATAGCTTAAAAAATCAATTTTTTTTTTTTTAATTTTTTTTTCCTGGCCAAACAAAGCTAATATTTTTTTGATTGTGACTCTAATATTGAGTCATACTTTATATTCACACCCACATACATGTACAGGAACCTCAGCTACAAACAAAATGCGTAAGCAATTACTTAAATTTAAAAAAATAAGACAAATAGTAAGATTGAAGAAGAATATAGGAGCTGTACACAGATACCAAACCTAATTCCAAAGAGCCGTGGCAAAAGGGACCTAGAAAGAAGACAGAGAATATTTAAGGTGGCCAGCAGCCAGCTTATCAGACTTGCATAGCAGGGTGCATCCCAGGAGTGAATCTAATTAATAGAACTGTAGTTTCCCACTTCCTATTCTCAAAGGAAGATTTCATAAATACAAAAAAGCCCATTAATTCTCCTCACACACTATGTGGAGCTGCAGTGTATGTACAGTTTCCTAGTCACACACCAAACAATAAAATGCAGAGCTCAAAACTCTTGCTCTTTTAGCATAGGTTCTAAGACAAATGAAACATGTTTTTAAAAGGTGGCAGCAGAAGACAGTAAGAACAATCAGTATTTGAGTAAAATGAGCCAGAAGGCTCAGCAAATATCTGAACTTCAGTGAGACTGGAGTAGAAGCTTGCATCTATCCCCTATAGAAAAGCAAACAAGAAGCTTCTAGCCAAATTCTGGGCTTACAACTTATCCCAACTCTTAATGGATTTATGAGGATGTATAGTTACAGTTAAGAGCAGACTTACAGCCACAGGTTTTGCTCCCATTCAATTATCTCTGATAAATTAATGTCCCCTTGATGCAGTTATGTTAGAACAAAAATGCCCTCTTATTCCCTTAAATCAATGGGTAAACACTATGCTATTTTAAGTACCTTTAAAGCCAGCAGAACACTATGTTGCACCAGTATAATTTTATTTCAAACATGTACTGCTACTAAGCCACTGGATATCGGGAGCATCCAGAATTCATCACATTCATGTCCATGTTTCCTGGACCTGGGGCACTGGAAGGTATAGCACAGAAACACCTTCAATATTATCTATGTTTTATCTCAAAAAATAAAGTAGTGGAATAGCATAAATTGGGATGGTATTTTTATCATTCTGGAGCTATAAGCTGTGCTATGTTCTGCATTTATTAACATTTGTTATTGTACTTTATAGTCAGAATTGTTACAGCATTTGCGGACAGGTGGATAGTCTCACAGAGGCGCTTGAGGAACTAGCTGTGAAGTATCAGTGTGTTGTAAATCAATATTTAGGTTATTTCAAGACTGCAGATGACAGTACTGAAGGTTTTTTCTTCTTTTAATTATATTTTTTCATGTAATTACCTCACTGCTTCAGTACTGAAAATAGTGAAGCTGTAAAAACAACAAACCGCTATTCGGTATTGGAAGATATTCTGTTTTCCTAATTGTGTCTTAATGAAGCAATCAGTAACAGTGAAAGATCATGAATCTTAAAATGGACTGGAAAAAACAGACAAAGCTCTTTAGAAATAGGCAGGAGGTCCTCCTAGAATATATTGGTATAGACAGTTGGAGCATTTTCTTCTGGATGCCTAAGGAAACCTCAGAAGCTATTTTTAGTGGTGTTGCACAGCCAAAAGTGAGGCTGCAGTCAGTAGGAACTGTGATACTTACTGACATGTAAAATGAGGCCCGACATTCTTTTGTGCAAACCATTTTCCAACACTTTTTGCCAACAGCTGGTTTTACATCATTATCATTCTGCCCTGTTCTGGACAAAAATATATGTAGTTTATGTACCTAAATATAGTTCGTTAAATATGAATCTATATTGCACAAAATGGTCCTTTTTGTCCCCATCATGTCTTGTTTGAGAAACTTTATTTCATCACAGTGCTTTCAAGCAAATCAACAAAAAAAATTTGTCTTACATATAAGCTATATTTTTCAGGTTTTCTGATCTAATACTGGACTAATTATTGTTTCATTTGTTGCTTGTTTGGAAGATTTTCCATATACATTTTTGTGCACATTGTTTTTTGTATAGAAACCCAAGGTCTTTTGATATGTATTATACTCAATGAACTATTCTCCTTTCATTAAAAAAATCAGCATTTAAAACACATTGTCCTGGTTTAGCTGGGATAGAGTTGATTTTCTTCATAGTAGCTGGTGCAGTGCTGTGTTTTGGCTTTAATCTGAGAGCAATGCTGATAACACACTGATGTTTTAGTTGTTGCTTAGTAGCACTTATCTTGACCAAGGACTTTTCAGTCTCTCATGCTCTGCCAGCGCGGAGGGGCACAAGAAGCTGGGAGGGAGCAGACAGGACACCTGACCCAAACTAGCCAAAGGGATATTCCTTTGAACAAACAAGAGGAATTAGAGATGTGT